TCTTCTATGAGCAGGCTATAGAGTTTTGTTTGTCTGTTTGTATAAGGAATGGGACCATAGTTCGGTGGTTTAATCCATTGGTGGAACGTGATCTAAGGCCAAACATATTCGGAACAGGCCACCCCCCGAATAATTAACAGAATTAATTAGAAAAATTCCCAATATATAGTGAAAACAACTACAAATTTATCAACAAAAAGATGGTATTTCAAGATTTGTGTAATAAATTATAAAATTTTCCATTTGGTGTTAGAAATGAAGATCAATATCTCTTTAAAGAGACTATTGTTAAGTTATATAATAAATATATATAAAATTATTTCCGTCTATTAAGCTGTAATTTCCATTATTTCAACCGCAATCGTATATTGAAAGCGCATAGCGTGATAAAGAAGAAAAGATAAGATGAATTTCAAGTGCAGAAGGTCATTTTAATAAATATGAAATATCTGAAATCATTAAAAATAATATTTCTATAGTCAATTTATATATATTTTCCTCATGTAATCTATCGTCAGCAACGTTGCTCATTGTTAGGATCTTAGAATTATACATAATCGGTGAAGACTTGTGATTGTTTTATTATTTAATTAAATTAATTAATGGTAATTTAATCTTTACAGCGGTTAACTAACTTTTGGGCCACCCTCTACAATTTCATTCGTTTATAACTAATTAAATCTACACGTAAACAAAAATTAATTACAAATAATAATTTACATTAATTAAATGCAGATATTTTTATCAATACGCTTTTTTTTATTATTATTATTAATTTTTCCTGCCTGTCTGTATGTCTATTTATGTATGTCGTGACTTAACTTTTTACTTATTTCTTAATTAAATGCTAAACTAAGAAGAATTTCGATAATTTCGTATTCTGTATTAAAAAAAATGAATAAATAAAAGGTAGAAAGTAAAAAATATTAAAGAAATTCTCTTTATTTACGTAAATCCACTGAAAGCCCAGCAGTGGTTGAGTGGGTAAAACTAATGAAAACAGGTCATGGGTTCACATCTTTCGGTTGATTATAGTCCCTGTAGGAACTTTAAGCAACCTGCAGGGTTGATTATAATTCCTACAGGGGTTTTCTTCACGTTTTTTAATTAGAAACGTGAAGAAAACACGGAAAATTTCACGTGGCGAGTCTTTTTTTGCCAAGTGTGAACCCACAACTAACCTACCAGTATTCTAATGGTTTTATCCACTTGTTTTCTATTTTTTACAATTTTTTACAACCGTATAATTACATATTACAATGGTTTGTCCATGGCAATTGGTTATTTTTTTTTAGTGCTTCATGTTTTTGGACTCTAACCTGAAGCTGCCAGTCCTTATATTGTACTTGTATTAGCACTCGTATTTAGCTAATACGTAGCAGAAGCAAAATAATATTGCCTAGTGTAATGCTTTTGTCTAAGCCCTGTATATAGTCTATACTATTATAGTTTTATCATTATTTTTATTAACATATTTTCAATAAGAATTTTAATATATAAGGTGAGTGGAAAGTAACTAGACATTGAGAAAATTGCTATGGTTTTTATAATACTAATAAATCATAATAAAATTTATATATGCATATAGGCCTACATCCATTAATAGAAATTTATAATTCCTTTATCGATGGTGTAGACAGTGAATAAGAAAGGCTGCAGTGGGATCAAAAAATGGCCGTTCGTTTGTCTGTTTAGGAGAGAGCGCAGATTATTCCACGCTATTAGGTGTAGAAATCACTGGTTACTGTGCAGAGATAATAGTGTATAGTTAAGGGATGTCATGCCGCAATTCATCTGGAAACAATTAGGAATCGTTATTCGAAGCTAATGATCATGCGGACGTTCAGAAAAGTGTCCATCCATCCAAATCACAATCTGATAAAAAAGTATTGTTGGTGGGTGGCGTCAGTACCTATATTGAATTGTAAGATAAGTATCCAATTTTTCATTTAACGAGGTATCTGTCAAATAATTTCCATCATCTTTGCATTAGAAATATACAAATTATAGTAATTTCGCAATGCCTAGTTATTTTCCACCCACCTTGTATACAATCTATTTTTCCTTGAATGTACAGTACTGCATTCTATAACTCCCTCGTTACATCATAAGTCATAAATTTGAAAACAAGGTGTGTGTCGCATAAAAAATGCTTGAATAAACCACAAATTCCAATAAACAGTTGTTAGTCAACAACAATTAAATGACTAAAATATCTTATCTTTTGCTAATGTAGTGTAATCACGTTCGATTTAATTTTTTGTGATAGGTAAATGGAGAGTGGTGCTAAGTGATATTTAGGGCAAATTAACTGAATAACAAATGTTACCTGGAGATTGTGCCAAAATATTAAATTACTGAACACTGTGTTAGTTGCGAATTCTTTCCTCCGGTTTCCGAAATTTCCCCGGGTTAATTCGCGTGTTGGTCCACCAGTGGCCAAACAATTCCGTTCCCTGAACACTGGGAATTCGGTCGCGGGTTCGCGCCTGGTCAGGACGACTGGCCACGTGGAGTTTTCCGGGTTTTTTCCACGTATGTAACGCCTGAATAGGGGCCAGTTAACCTTAAAAACACCTCCCGGAAGCCATCCCCCTAGGCAGATCGCCCAAGTGTTGAGTTGCTATTACTTAACCAAACCAATTTACGTGTCTAACAACTAAATGGGAGTTAAGTTTATCGTACAGTTCTCCTAGGAGTTATCTCCGCTTCTGTTTTGGTCTGGTTTCACGAAATGCATCGCCGTATTCTATGAAATTAGAGCAATTCCGGGATAGTCACGAACTATCCTGGTAACTAACCACTTGGAGGCAAGAACCCGGAACCACTCGGTGTTCAGCGGTTTCATCCACTCGGCCAAAGTGTATAAAGATGAATTGATAAACGTTCAAATACCTTAACGAATGTAAAATCCACCTTCACAATACTTCGTGTGTATGCATGGTAACGAACTTTCCTGGTTTATTCAACCGTAAAATAAGGTTTTATGTATTTTCTTTACAAACTCTTTTTAAAATTAAAATATACAACAATTCTACAGCTTAAAAATCTACATAAATTATGGAATTTTGAGAAAATACAAGTAATACAGTAATCTGGCAACCCTACAATCCAGTGGGTACTGGATTAACGAACCTCTACTATAAATAATGATGGTGTGGTTTTATAATAACGATCTTTTTCTCATAATAAAACTAAAATCTAATGTTAATATTATATATATAATATATATTAATACAATTAACAAGTATTGTTTCACGGTTGAATAATTTTAAAAAAATGATTCTGTAACAATACTGGAAAAACACACAAGGAAGACGAATTGACGAAAGTATTCAATAGAAAAAAAATTATTTGAAATTTTATATACGGTAATTTACGTTCGTTGACCCACATTTTACGATTGTTTTAGTTGGATTTTATTATTTTGTTATAGATTCACACGCCTATTCTCTTACTTGACATAAATGTTACTTGTATGGATTCCTTGTATGGAGTGTAAAGAGGATTCCTTGAAAATATAATACACAAAAACTTATTTTTTTTGTAACAATATGCTCTGTTTAGTACAAAATCATAGAATAATTTATTTATGACGTAACATTTACACACACTTCGTTCGTTTTTTATTCACATGAAGTCTCTTAGATTTCTTCACGTATGTAATTTAATAGGGCTTAGGTCACCTTGGTGTGTACAAAAGGGTCCTTAGAAAAGTAATGCATTAGCATACTAGGTTGGGGGATCCGAAATCGAATCCGAGAGAACCACACCAGGAATTCATAATGGGTTGTCCATTAGGAAAATTTCGGACTTTGTCTCTCATGTTGTATTTTATACTTTCCAAGAAATTATTTTATTTATAACAGGTATGAATGTGTATAGGAAACAATAGCGTGTAAGTAAGTAATTATCGTAATTAAACTTAAGTTTTCCTGGTTTTCTTCAAAACTTGCAGAGGTAAGGCAAACAGCATTGATTAAACAATTGGCCGCTAGTAGACAATTGGGAACAATTAGACAAAAATGACCCCCTCAAGATTTTTATATTTTTCAATTCAGGAGGACTTGAAACGTCGAGAAATGCAAATAAGTTGGGGTTTTTTCTATATATATGGATGTTAGCGTGTGTGTATGTGTCAGGTGCAGGATATTTTTACCCAGTTTGAAGCTTAATAACTCCTCTGTCTTTCATCGAAAGTTTTTGAAATTTTGCAGGGAGATATGTGTATTAGGGGCACTGATGCTATTAAATTTTGATGATTAAAGACCAACGGGGTGAAGAGATAAAGGAGGTCGTGTGGGATCAGACTTAATGACGATTTTACTCGTTATTTACATTTACAATTTATTTACAAGGCCCATCTCTATCCTCGGAATGGTATTTCTTATGTTAATTCGCTTTCTTTTAATTCGAATCTCCCAATTTACTGTCGATATTTCACCTTACGTAGTACCTTTTCGTCGGGGAATAGGACGTGCCTTACGTAGTATTAGGTAGTGTTGCTTAAGCGCCATCTGTTATCTATAATTGCAATGATCTGCCGTTTTTACTCCGTAAAAAAATTAAAATANCGTCCGGTTAACGATTATAATGGTTTCCTGAGTTTAGTCACACGACTGTTGAACAGTTGGTTTTACAAATTGAATGGGCACATCGGTCTCCACTTCAAAAAAATAAAATCAACCTCAGCTGATATTAAAATATAATTAACACTCGTTTCTAACGGTAGATGGCTCTATGATAAATATTTAAATGGTCCCAAACATTAATTTTCACTTCATTATTGATTAAAATTCTTAACTTAATTTATAACAATTTAAATTAAATTTATCAAGTTTCTCGCAAATTATTTACGATTTTAACATGTAGAAATGAATTTCTCAGCTGTTAAGAAGTGTAAATTACTGTAATGCATCCCGTAAATATATACTGTATAAATTTAACAGATATATATATAATTGCTCAAAGTACCATCATATTTCTCTAAATGCATATTTTATTTTTAGGCTGTTCCCGACGCTAAGGAAAGGCTTCACAGAGTCTTGAATGACTTGGAAAATTCCATGACTGACTTAGTTCATCACGTTATTCGTGAACTTGGTGGAGATAATTTCCTTGCAGCTGTACCTTTCTTAGAAGAATTAGAGGAGATTTTCGATGAATTTGCCGATAAAACTTTAGGCAAAGTAAGCTTGAACAAAATTTAAAAAAAGAAATTAATTGCATTCGAATATCAATTATTCTAATTCGAGTGCTATTTAATTTATATAAAACATTTTAGAAACTTGAGGGATAAGATTTACTTATAAAAAGAAACAATAATTATTTGTAAAATCGCGCATTTCTAAATAGAAAATTGGTCTTGAATCCATCATTATTACAAGTTTGATTTGTTAAATCATTTTTAAACTGAAGATATAATTTATAGTCGACCCCCCATAACACTGTTGATAATTCCGTTTTATATGAATTCCATGTTGTACGAATCACTTAGATTTTATAAATACGTGAGCCGTTCACAGCCCGGCACACGTATTTATAAAATCTAAGTGACTCGTACAACATGGAATTCCTATAAAACGGAATTATCAACAGTGTTATAGGGGGTCGACTGTATTTGAATAAAAAGATTCAAGTAAAATTATTTTTTAGGTAGTTGATCTTGTTGTTGCTATGGAAGGAGTTATTCGTAGAATTGAAGATGAACTTCCAGTCGTAGCTGAAGATGTGAGACATTTGATTCGTGACATCAGACAAGATTTTAAAGATATTATGAGAGATTTGAAAACCACCTTTTTGGGTAAAATATGGTTTATTCTTAAACTTTAATTTTATGTAGCTTCCAATTAAAATTTGTTAGATTATTGTGAAAATAAACCCAAACTCTCCGAATTTCAAATACTGTAATAAACTTCGAAAACTATTTTTTAAAAAATCAAATTTTTAATAGACTAACGACATCTAGCGTGTAAAATTTTAACTATTGTTATAACAAATGATATATTGATGTTCATTTACAATGTAGGTTACAGTTTTCTCGATGTAATGGGAGATCTGACCGATGGAACCAAGTTGGGTACAGTTATGAAGGTCGTAAGTCTCATTGACAAATTCAATACTCTCGTTAAAGATGTCAAACAATTGGAACCAAGGGCAGAAGCTGTGTTAGAACACAGCGTTAGTGTCGTTGCCAACCATGCCCAGGAGTTTTTAAATCACGCTTCTGATCTTTTATACAAAGAACAATATTAATTAAAGTTATAACGAGAATTTGAATAAAATAACTTTAAAAAATTTGCAATTGTGTTCAATTTATTCATTTATATAGTTTTTTTTTTTTTTAATCAAAACAATTAAGCCATACACATTTGTTAAAATTTTACAAAAATTAGCATTAATATTTATTTTCATAAATTTAAATTTACTTAATTAGTTCTTTCAATAACAATATTGAAGAACAATGATTAAAAAACAGTTTTATAAACTTATTGCTAAAGTATTGTGTTATGTTACAATATCACATATTATTCTATCAAAATTATATAAAACTAATTCATAATGACTTATGTAAACTTTATTATATATATATTGTGACATTGATCGGCATGAATCTCGGCACAAAATTACAATAGCTCGTCAAAACAGTTAATTATTTATATTGCTGCCGTAATGAATTAAAAAGATCACCGATATAATTTTTCTTTTAGAAAAAGCATACAAATATTTCAAAATTTATGCAATTTCCTACAAGAAAAAATTTATTTATAGTACTATAAGTTAAATCAAGTCTTTGCATAATCTTGGCAGCACCCGATACTTTTGATTATTAATTCAGATTTAATGTTTCTGCGATGTTTAACATATTAGATATGTAACCATTAAATACATGCTATAAATTTGCATATTAAACTTATAAATACTAATATATAGTCCTATGAAAAATTATGGCACTATTTTATAAATCTTGCAATATTTTTTAGATAACTTTCATCGTTTACATAAAAACTTCTTTTAAACATTCNGATAGATTTGAAGTAATCGACCTGCAATCTTCACGTCACAAATGGCCTTTTATGACTTCTAGCGCGGCTTTAAAACGATAAGACAAAATATTAATATAGAGCAATAACACGAGGCTACTATAAAAGCCAGGTACTTGGCCATGGCCACGCTTCTTGCCTCTTCCTCGCTACTCTTCTGTCATGGAAATACAATAAAATTTGCCTTATGAAGGTCTCTACAATATGATTTTGTGACGTAAAGGTTACTTCAGTAGCATGTTTTTTTTATACATTGATGATAAAGGCAATTATTATCAGACTGGTCTTAAAGTAAGCGATGTTTTAATAACTTTATATCCATGGCAGAAGAGTAGTGAGAAAGAGTCAAAAGGTATGTCCATGGCGCTTTCTTAAAAGCCACATTACTAATGTTTTTCTCTTACATCTTGTAAAAATTAAATCAGGGTATCAACAATACTTAAAATGGCGAGTCAAAGAGTTTCGCTGCAAATCTATGATACGCTTCTATTGCATGAATACTACAATATAAAATACAGCGAGAAGAATCCAAGGAATTTGGAATTAAACTAATGTTTTTACGAGTTTCTAGTTGTTCTATAGGAGACATTTTCTTTGACTTCATCATATTTTTTTATACTTCTATACTATTTTATACGTTGTTAAATTGAAACAGCTAAAACACTTCCTCTAACTGAAGGAAAATGCCACTGGAACCGTGATACACGTGGCAATTTCGTCCACCCCAGGGCCATGCAGAACACGTGCATTTCGAAAAAGTACTCACTCGTGTACGTTTCAGAATATCCGCAACATTGAGATCACTTATAACTTATATAATTTTGATTTATTACCTGTAAATTGCAAGGCTAAAATCATTTAATTGTAACTTTTTTTTTTTTTTTTACTTTTGTTATAATTTAAAAGAATGAGGGGAAAAACAATCACGCAGATTGTCAAGGAAGTAGAATGTATTAAATATTAGTTAACTTATGAAGTGATATACATGTTTCTTTTTTCGGTAATTAAAATATTAAGTCAATGAAGTAAGTTTTAATTACAGTCTACTTAATATACATCAAAATGATTTTCTGTCTGATCCAATGAATATTTGACTAACGTTATTCTTATTTATTCCATTTTCTACTCTTAATTCTATAAATTTTAGGTAAATTATTCTGTTGAGGTCAATGTACGTGAACTTAAAAAAATGAGGTCTCGTGCTGTGCTCGAAAAAATGAGGTTACATTCGAGTAAATTGCTTTCGGTTATGAGAAACTACTTCTTTAATATCTACACTCTTAAATGATATTTTAGTTAACTTCTAATTTAAAAACCTGGAAACATTTTCGCTAAACTTTCTGGCATTCTATATTTGTTTTCATTCCTAGTAATTGCTAATATTGCCTTTAAGTCTTCTGATTGGTTCGGGAGATATTAAGGGGATAAGGCATATCTCATGAACTAATGGTCCAATTTTCCTGAAAATTTCTACAAACATTTCACCCTGATATAGGAACCTCCCTGCAAAATTTCAGTAGTTTCTGACAAAAGGCACAGGAGTTATTAAGTTTTAAAATGCGGTAATATAATCGTGCCCTCCAAACACACGCATCCTAAATCCATACATACGGACAAAACCTGCAAAATTTTTTCACTTATTGGCATCTCGAGACTCCCTGAGTCCAAAAATATAAAAATATAGAAGGACGGGGGAAGTAATTTTGAGCAGAAAAGCTTCATCTCAAAATTAGTAAAAGCGCTTTTTGTCTCCATCTTTCATAAAAACCGAGATAAAATATGATCCCTTGAAGAAAGGGTGGAAGATGAGTGACAACTATGTCATTGAATAATGCACTTGTATCTAGTTAATACGTAGCAGAAGCAAGATATATTATGGTGTAATGTTTTTGTATACACTACAACGATACAATTAGTGAAGCTAAACTGAGCAGAAACTTGATAAGGATGTTGAAAAGAAAATACTATATTAATAATACAGTAAAAATATTATCAAATTCTTGACATTTAGATAGCATAAAAGCAAGTTTTTATGATAATATAATATATGTAGTTTCCTGCAAGCATTTTGAATACGAGTTTAAGAGGAAAGTATACGAGACAACAATGAAGATAAGGAATATAAGAATGGTTACCCTTGAAATGCTTTTGTATAACTCTCTTTATTTCAACGTAAAACAAATAATTTATATATAAAATAACATAACATGTATACATAGCTTCAACAAGTTTTACTGTATTACTATGAATATAAGATGTTTTTAAGCAACAATATTCATTTAATTAAAACCGAATTTGTTAAAGACTAACAAGTTTCTCAACAGCAATTCAAAAATTAAAATTTTCTCTGCACACATCTTTTATTTATTGTTTAAGTAATGCCATTGTTGTATATTCATTCTAATATTTTAATCATAAATTCAATTTAAATATCAGTACTGGAATTTTGATAAATTCTTTAACTATAGTTGCTTCTTGGATTATTCATATGATGTTTGTTTCCAATAAAAAATTTTTTAATCATCTTTCTATTTTAAAAAATCTTTGTTTCATTAAATAAACTAGTTGTTCTCTTTGGTGTGTTTTAAAATTTTCATACCATTCTACAACTTTAATTCGCCTAGCCGATTTTTCCTCTTGTGAAAGACTTTTCTCTTGTTTTAATATAGCAGGCAATTCTGACCAATTCTTTACATAAATTATTGGTGCATTTAGAGATTTTAATAAACGGAATGGAGGAGGAATGTTTCTGAATGCTGACGTTTTAGAAGATGCACAATTACCTGGAGTGATTACATCTTCTACTACAGGAACAGAACCATAAGCCATTGCTTCATAAATTCGATAACATTCACTGTTCATTCCAACAGGACTCAGTGTTAAATCACTTAATTTAAGACTATGAACATAAGTTTCTAATGTTTCTTTTGTTTCGTGTGGTTGCCACCTGAAAAATGAAATTAATTTATGTAGAAGTAATGTAACAAATCTTTTTCCTACTTATTATTAAAAATAATAATTTAGGAAAACACTTACTCGTATCGTACTTTAATAATACATAATTGGCTGAGATTGTTTTTCTCTAAAATTTCTAATAAATACTGTCTAGAAGATTCTGGATAAACAGTTCCTAGGAAGTTACATATAAACGGACGTTCAGATTCTAAGTCTAACTGTTTAGAATCTTCTTTTGGAAAATTTCTGTACCTGGATGAGGAAAACACTTTTACTCAAATAATCTGAGATCAATAATGTAACATAAACACCAATACTCACGTTGCAACACCGAGAGGCCATTGAAAAAAATAAAAATTATCTATTAATGGACTGTCATAGACTAGAAGAGTTGCATTTATAAGTCCTCCGTTAAAAGTCATATATGGCAGGATCCAATCATTTTTACACTTTTCATCACCTAACAATATTAATATCACACCATGTAGGTTTTTGAAATATGGCAAATAATTAAGCCAAGTTTTGGCAAATGATACTTTCTGATCATTTCTTCCATTAAGAATCAGAATGAGATACTCAACATCACTCGGAACTTTGGTGTAAATAACACCTGGACCTGTTCGAAACCTAAAATTTTAGGACAAATATTAAAATTATGATAATTTATTTCATAAAAAACCTTAAATTATAATCCTGTAAATTTATACTTCTTATAATATTAATAATTCTAATAAAATTTTAATCTCTCTACAGATAATAAAAATTACATATACTCTGTGTAATTTATTTCCTTTCATTTTAGTTTAATAGCAAATGTTATCATAATTTTAACAGGTGATAAACACCTACTTAGTTAAAATGTTTGTTAGTAGATGAACTGTTTTCAACATAAATTAAAATTTTCATGATCTTATTTTAAAGTAGTTAAATATTAAACATTTAATCTTACTTAAACTTTATATTATCAATTTTTCGGAATCCATAACTCCAGACACCATCCATTTTCTTTTCTGTTTTGCCATTAAAAATATGCTCCCATAAATACAAACCTACACAATTACAAAAAGAATGTATGAGCTTTACATAAAAAAAAAAACAAAACCAGATTTAAAACAAATACAATCATAGAACAGATGGTTCATATTAACAAGAGTAGTGAACATTAAATTTATGTAAATTGCAAAACTAATCAAATAAATTTCTGGCTAAATATACTGAAAATTCAATTCTTTTTGTTTGGATTTTTATTTTCAAATTTAAATAAATATAATTTGCTGTAATAAAAATATTATTTAAAATTACAAATAAAACTGAATATATACCAAAACACACAACAATAAACTGAAACTGCTAGATTTCCATTAATATTTTTACACAGAAATTAGTTATTAAAAAGGGATTCAAGACTAAATAAAAGTAGAATTACCCTCGGTAATTGAAATAATTAGATTAATATAGCTAAAGTTTTAATTTATAAATGAGGAATAAATTGAAGACTGTTTAAGAGAGACTTGAATCTAACTCCTACAAGACAAACATACCCATTTAGTTTAAGAAGAGCAAGTTCAATCAACAATCTGAGTTGACTTTTCTAAATATTATAACAGAAGGAAATCAATAATAATAATAATAGGTTATAATTCTGCATACTATTAGTGTTAAATTCCTTTAATTTAATCTATGCAAAAATATTAGCATAAATATAGCTAAATAAATCCAACCATTGTAATTCAATATTCAGAAAGATTAGTATTAAAAAAAATGCATATACAGTAGACTCTGCTTATTGTACTCATGAATAATGCTATCAAAATTATGTCATTTAATATCAAAAAATGTCATTTAATGTTACCAAAATTAGTAGGTCCCAAAAATATAAGTTATAAAAATTTCCCTTATGGTTCCAGAATTTGATTATTGTTATTATCAGTGGTGATATTCAAAATATTTAACAAAGGGTTCGCTAACAGAAAATTTTTCCTTAACAATCTTTTTCGCTCAAATGGTGCATTAGCAACATTAGNTAATGTATATCGGCATTAAATAATTAGAAAGAAAATTTAACAGTTAGTGGTATAAGGGGAAAGGTAGTAGTAGTAGTAGTAGTAGTAGTAGTGTATATACTATTGTACGCTAATTTTAAATTTCTCAAGATATACTATTTATAACTGAATTAATTAGGGAATTTTATATATCTATAAGTTATATTTTCCCTTTTAAATGCCTCAGGGAGAAGGAAGAAATGATAAATTGCTTCAGTAAATTTCTTGATGATTAAATCATGTTTAATACTTTATTTTATTTATTCATATACAGTACAACAGATTATAAACGACTTGAAATATATATTTAGACGTTATTCTTGAGTTATAAAGCATTCAATTAAGCATACAATCAATTAACTTCTTCGTATAATGATAATTTAATACATTAACAACATTAAATTAGAATTTATAAGTGGATATTAATTCTAATTAAGTATTAATGTCTTCTTTAATACTGTAAATAATTATCAGGATATAAACATATCAAACACCTTCTTTATTATAAAGAATATGGATAATTTAACCCATTTTTCTTGTATTCTTAAAAGGATACAATAAAAAATAATAAACAGAATGCAAATATCATAAAATAATAAAAAATATTCTTAAAGATATTATTTTCTACTCTCCTTTCGGGCGAATTATATCTTGTTTTGAGTGCAGATTCCACTCTTTCTTTATAATCAAGAATTGCTCGACGTGCATCTTTCCATGCGTGTGGTCCTTGCAAACGATACTGATAAGGAAGGTTTGGACCCATAAAACACGCCCAAAATAATGGGAAATCGAAGAAAAACATCTTGAATATATCAGGTTTGGCTCCTATCATTGAAGACATTTCATCTAAGTAATCGACGTAGTCTACTTGTATGGTGTGACGTGGTCCATCGAAATATCTCTTGTCCATCATCTCAGATTTATGCTTGATATCATAATACATATCTTGTGTCGATGGTAGATCTACTTCACCAGCTAAAACCCGAGCATACCATCTTGCTTGTATCTCCGATATAGGGAAGAAACCACCCACAATCTGTATCAGCCCAATAATTCCTAAATTTCTATGCTTAAGTTGCGGTGGAATGATATACTTATACAACTGTACTTTATTCTCTTCGACTGTTATTATATCTTTAGACAGAAAAGGGAATTTAATTTCGTAACCTGTTGCCAAGACAACTTCGTCTATTTCTGTGACGAAATCATCCCCTTCGAAGACCACTCCGTTTCTAACAAAGCGTTTAATTGGCCCTTTAATCACCACGGTTCCACTCAATATACGATTGGGTAGAGCATCGTTTACCATGGGATGTTGGGAAAGTATCCTGTGTTTCGGTTTTAATTGATATAATTCGTGATTGAAACGTTCATTTATCATTTTTTCTGTGAGAAAATTACGTATATTCAATGGAATTGTGTGAGAAAGTACGTTCCAGAAGCGACTTAAGTATAAAGAATCGAAGGGTAAACCATTGGTTCCAACTCTGTGTATTATCCAGCATCCTCTTCTTGTACTTAAGTACACCTGTAAATGAAAAATCAATTATTTTACTAAATAAATCTTTAAGAAAAACCTATCAAAACGATTCAGAATTAAACTATTTACAACGTACAATAAACAAAGAATTAATTGTTATATACAGTCGACCCCCTATAACACTGTTGATTATTCCGCTCTATATGAATTCCAGGTTGTACGAGTCACTTAGATTTTACAAATACGTGAGCCGTTCACAGCCCGGCACATGTATTTGTAAAATCTAAGTGACTCGTACAACATGGAATTTATATAAAGCGGAATAATCAACAGTGTTATAGGGGGGGTCGACTGTACCTTATAGCAATTTGTAATTTTATTGATTTTTAAGAGATGATACAAAGAAATTTTTCTTTTAATTTCCTCTTCTGATCATTGATTTATAATCAGCGAACTGATTAATTAACAAAAATTAAAATTTTCCCAATTTTTTTTTGTTTTTTTGGCCCAAAGTAAAGTATAATTAACTGTTCTCATCAATAATTGTAATTAATATTTTCATTAAAATTTATGAATTGTGTTAAGCTGGTAATTACTGTATTTTAAAGCTCAAATATGCAAAATTATTGTAATTTATTCGGATAACGAACTTATTAAAAATTAATAAATCATTTTCTGTTGAAATTTAGTATTATTATTTACTTTTTAAATAATATTTAAATTCTTTTAATTTTAGGTTAATTTTTTATGGATAAATTGTAATTAATTAATGAAAATATATATATATATAATTTGTATAATTTAATTAAGAGGTTTTTTATTCGTGTTTATAGACTCATAACGTAGGTCTTAGGCTAGGCTATAGGCTCATAATGCAAGGCCCTAAGACTCATATTAATTGATCTTATGAAATCTATATCATCCCACTTACTCACGTGTCATTTTTAACCTAATTTTAGGCATAACTGGGCTGAAAAGATGATTCTCATCAGTAGGGATTAGGAATACTGATTAAAGTCCAGTAATAATGATTAAAATTTAATTTTAATTAATCTAAATATTATTTTTAACACAATTAATGTGATAAAATTCTTACCTTACTAGCGACACTACTGAGTTCCACAGCGGCATCACCTCCAGAATTCCCAACACCTATAACCAGCACCTTCTTATCATCGTAACCATTGGGTTTTTTATAACTATGAGTGTGTATGATCCTCCCCTCGAACTCATCTTCACCCGGGAAAATGGGTCTTAAAGGATACACGTGATGACCATTACAAACCATGACTGCATCGAATACCTCTTGTAATTCCACCCCATTTAACAAATCCTTAACTTGTATCTTCCATCTTCCAGTGGATTCGTAATCATCCGAAGGCATTACCAATGACACTTCGTGCCTAAATTTAATATACTGGACCAATTCGAATTTCTCAGCGTACAGCTCCAAGTACTTGATCATCATGGAGTTGTGCATGTAATTGGGAAAATGCTTGGGTGGAGGAAAGTCGCTGAAAGCCGTGATCTCCTTGCTACTGTTAATGATAGTGGAGCGTGCCACGGATGCCAAACCTTCTACATCTTCGTCTCGATACCTCCAAAGGCCTCCTACATGGTTAGTTTTCTCGTAACAAACGACGTGGAATCCCTCTTCTACGCAGGCTTTTATGGAAGGGAGACCACTCGCTCCGGCTCCTATTACTACAACAGATTTTATTCTCTTATTTTCCATGGTTGAATGAAGTTTATCTTGCTGTCGTTCACTTTTTATATTGGGGGAAAAGTTTGTTTACCGTCGTTACGCATGCTCTAACGATAACCGTCATTGCTAATCTGGTTAACCTTCGGTATTTCTTTAATACTATGATTGTTCTAATTGCGCAAGTAATTGAATTTATTAAGTAAAAGTACATTTAAACTCACGAGAATTTTCGATTGATATGTGAAGAACATTATAAAACAATTAAAGAATGCATAGGGAGTGTAAGTCCAGCACAAGCATTAAAATTCCCCCATGATGTGATGGGGTTCGAACTTTTGATCGGTCGCAACACCCAAATTTTAGAACGAATGGGGTGGAGAATGGAGAAGAGAGTGAATTTTGATTCTTAAAAACTGATCCGCAGATCGTTTTATGTTCTCTAATATCGTGTTGAGGACAGACACGACATAAGGATACATTCAATAACTTTAGAAAAAAAATAGTCAATTTGTTTTTCCTCTTTGTATATTGAAAGAGCAGATATTTATGTAGATTTCCTTGAAGTTTGTATTATTAAAAATAGTACAGAGGATAAATAAACAATTCCTTTAATAACCTTTCTGTCTTCCCAACATAATAAAAAAATTATCTGTATTTTGTATGAATTTGTTCTGGGACAGAATGGCTATTTGTCTTCATTAATAAGAGAATTATTGCATTGTGGTTGTGTAAAACTTATATATAAATGAAACAATCTATGACAAATGTATTATTAATTACTTAAAATTGTATTAATGTAGATTTATTACATAAATTCGTAGAATTTTTATTTTTATTTTTCTCTTTCTTCCTCGAAGGCATTATTAATATAAGGTAAAATCGATTTTATATACAGAAGATTTTAATTGTTTAGCTGTATTTGTCCTTGTAGGGGGTCGTTTCCATCTCATTTAGAGCTAGAATCTTACCTTAAATTACAAATAAATAGAGAATATGAAAGGTTGAACAAATCCCACGTAGCATTAACGTCGATCATGGAACATATTCCTAGTTTTTCTCGCATTTTTAACACCTAAATTGGGCCAATTTCCCATAGAAAGTCTTCTTCGGGATCTGTCAAGAGAGGGTCAGGAAGACTTTTTATGGAAAATAAGCTTCAATTTAAGTGTTGATGTATATATTTTTTCTATTTAGAGACATCACAAGTAGTGTATAACGTTGTGAAACTCATCTGTAATATTATACTATCAATAATTTATCGAAAATAGCCAGAAAATTGGTCAAGGTTCCTTATCGATCATTCAATTTAAACATTAAAATAACTCGGAATAAAACTGATAGTAACTATTATTATTCATGAATATTAATGAAATATTGAACTGTGAATCTTTCATTTTAGAACTTCTCAGTGATTTAAAGATTTATTCTTGTAATATTATCAATTACGTAAGAAACCGATACGAAAATCTTAATTATTATATTGCGTGATGCATTATAAATGATAAAATTTAATATTTATCGTTGTAAATTAAATATGTAAATTTATTTCATTACATTCATTACATTATTGTGTTTTAAATTGTTAAATTATTTCAATTTACTTTCTATGGAACTGGACAGATGGTCGCATGATAATGGATGTTTCTGGAGGTAAGAAATTCGGACCCGATGTTAAATTTTTTGTGATTTTTCGTAGCTAATTCGAATCCAGACTTTTATTTCCATTCCTGGGTAGTGTGTCTTTATCCCACTGTAGATTCTTTAGCAGTGTAGCCTCATCCCACTGTAGATTCTTTAGCAGTGTATTCTCATCCCACTGTAGATTCTTTAGCAGTGTATTCTCATTCCACTGTTGATTCTTTAGCAGTGTATTCTCATTCCACTGTTGATTCTTTAGCAGTGTATTCTCATTCCACTGTAGATTCTTTAGCAGTGTATTCTCATTCCACTGTAGATTCTTTAGCAGTGTATTCTCATTCCACTGTTGATTCTTTAGCAGTGTATTCTCATCCCACTGTAGATTCTTTAGCAGTGTATTCTCATTCCACTGTTGATTCTTTAGCAGTGTATTCTCATTCCACTGTTGATTCTTTAGCAGTGTATTCTCATTCCACTGTTGATTCTTTAGCAGTGTATTCTCATCCCACTGTAGATTCTTTAGCAGTGTATTCTCATTCCACTGTTGATTCTTTAGCAGTGTATTCTCATCCCACTGTAGATTCTTTAGCAGTGTATTCTCATTCCACTGTAGATTCTTTAGCAGTGTATTCTCATTCCACTGTTGATTCTTTAGCAGTGTATTCTCATTCCACTGTTGATTCTTTAGCAGTGTATTCCTCATTCCATTGTAGATTCTTTAGCAGTATCTTCATCCCACTGTAGATTGTTGAGAAGTGTTTCATATTCTAAGGCAGATTCTTTAGTAGTGTTGCCTTATTCCACTGTAGATCATATTTTTCCGTAATGAGCAAGTTGAAACATTTATACAATCCACTGTATATTAAAGTATCGTGTAAGAAACTCATTCCGTTTGTATGCCACATAAAACTGCAGTTTTCCCTCCTTTCTAAATGGGAAAACTGCTGTTTACGTTGATAATAAATTTTATATGTTTATAATATAAAATATATTATCAAGATAAATTTCACAAAGTGTAAACGAATTGAAATTATAGAAAATTTTCATTTAGAGTAGATTAATTTTATCTCAAAAATATTCTGAAACGGGAAATATGATATATTTTCAATGAGACAATCATTGAGTATTTTATCAGATTAAAATATTTTCTTGTATATATAAATTCAAACCTCTAAACAACTGATGGGAACATAAAAGACGGCCGTTATTTAAAGGTTATTTTGTATGAATTTCTTTTTGAAATTCATACAAAATAACCTCTAAATAACGGAATTTATTCAGTCTACAATTTTTTAAAATTGCAGCCCAATTAATTAATTAATTGGACAACAATTAATTTTTTTCATCAAAATTATACAGTATTTTCAAGTATTAAAGGAAAGAAATATCTCTCATAACTCAATAACAATCTATTTGCATTACGACGTACACTTTCCTCATTATCTATCAATGCATTCTATAGAAATATATTGTAAGAAATGACGAAACTTTTGAATATGACGCTCTAACCCAATCTTATATTACGTGAATGTTCTCTCCTTATCTCTAATCCTTGTCTTTACCTTCATCCCTCATCTCTGTCTTCAATTTCATCTTTTATCACTTTTCTCTGTCCTCAACTTTATTCATTATTCCTTGTCTTCAACTTTGTCCCTTATTCCTATTTTTACTTTCTTCCGTTATAACTGTTATCAACTTCGTCCCCTATCCCTCAACACCACTCCTTATAGTTGTCCTCAACATCATCCCTTATCCCTTTAACTTCATACCTCACATCACCTATCCTCAACTTCATCTGTCACAATAGAAACTGATATATAATAGAATCAGCATAGTTAAACGATGAGAAATGATCCAGATAACACACAAAAACTGGGAAGAATCGAATTTAATTAAAACCCTTTCGATTTTTCATAGACGTTTCCTATTACTCGACATAAATCAAACACATTTGATCCTAAAGGCCGTTCAGTGAACTTTTTATTTAATAAAATATTAAAACTATCTTTTGGGTCACGGATAATCCCGATAAGAAATTTAATCTGTACAATTGACCTTAAACACTTACAGGGTTGTAAGGCGATATCTTTGTAACTTGGAAGAGTTCTGACCCAATTCTACCATGCGAAAGAGAAATATTTTTTGAAATCTAACATAATTTTTTATTGATAATAATAAAAAGTTTAGTACCAATAGTGGTTCTTAATAAAAGACTATCTTAATGCACGAAATGCTTCATAATAAAGGCCTTCTTTTAGTGTTCACGGCGCTTCTTATGAAGCACTATGGATACTAAGAGAGAGCTATTAATAAGAAGCACTGTGTGGTACTGAAAATAAAAAGAAACAGATTTAACCCAAAATAAATAATATTTTAAATGTATGTCTACTGTTTTTGGAACTCATAACTGTGTGGCATGAATATACACAGTTTGTAAGACATATATAAGGCTTCTATTATACAGGCGTCCTCTTTTTAGAGGACATGTCCTACATTTAATCCTAATTCCTTAAATTTTAATAATTTTTAACAAAGCATCTTTAAAATATACATAACTTTGATTTTAAGATGTAAATTCATTTATAAATTGTATAAAATATCTCCTAGGACCTCAAAAATATCCAAAAAAATAACACAAGTTTCCTTCTAACAGATGCATTAAATTGGATAAGTAACAATTGATAACAGTTAGATAGGAATTGATGATAAATAATGGAGAAGACTTAAAGTGCTTTCGATTAAATAAACTTTCATCAATTTCGGTATGAGAATAAAGTGAAATAATGTTTACTGTTTTAGAAAATGTCTACCTATTTTAGACAGATATATATTAATTATAAACTAATAATTATACAGGGTGACTCAAAAGTTAGTTAACTACTGGTTAACTGAATTTTGAGTTTCTCTCTCTATATATGCTAAAGATCTCTGTCTCTCTCTCTCTCTCTCTCTCTCTCTCTCTCTCTCTCTCTATGTATAAAGATGACAATTGATTCGTATACTTTACCATTATAATGGTTTATTCATTGTATACCTGGAATAAATTTTCCTATTTTATAATTATTTCCTGAAGGAATAATTATGCTTAGATATTACTAAATTGATAATAAATAATCTGCAAAATCAATTTTAAAGTTTATTTTTAACTTAATAGCCGAATAATCTCCCAACCTCTAAATGACGGTCACCTCCAAATGGTAGACATTTTTTGAGGAGGAGAGAGAGAGAGACGTTTCCTTATTTAAATATATACATTACGAAAGCTAATTAATCAAAAATTAGGTATTGTGTTATTCCGGTTTACACAGGTTTCTAAGAAAACCTGTGCAAACCGGAATCCCACAACACCGATTGGATATAGGGGAGATCGGGGCAACTTCGGCATGCGGGGCAAGTTTGTCAAGCGCTTTTTTTAAAAAACAAATTAAAAGGAGACTTTGGTTATAGGTTAGGCAGTTGAGTTTTATTGGTGGCTTGTTGAGTGTAGTGTTTTTATTGTTCTCCAACAAGCGTAGTTGAATTATCAAGCAAATTTTCATTTTCGTTCAATTCCATATAATATTTTTTTTCCATTTATATTGAATTGGCAGGTTTTGTTATAATTCCATGATAACGAAAGTTACTTTTCCTGTTAGAAGGATGTAACTTCAACTTATTCACGTGGCCAGATCGTGGCTTGGCATTCTGTTCTCAGGGTTGTACTTAATGTTTCGAAATCATGACTAGCGGGGTAAGATCGGCAACATAAAGCCACATTAGAAGCAAAGGATAAAAATCAAACAGATGATAAATGAAAACATGTTTGCATTTGTTATTCATGTATATATGTCTTTGAACTTGCATTTCGTTGTAATAATATTAAATGGGTGTTGGATTTGTATTTCTTTGTTTTAATAGTGAATTCCAACTTATACATTGTTAATAACATAATTTTATATACGTGCCTATCTTGCCCCATTACTGTTGCCCCTATACCAGGGGCAACTTTAATAAAAATAATTAAAATAATTACAACTTTACAAAAAGAGAGAAGTTGCCGATCTTGCCCCTATACCCGGGGCAACTTCGTCAATTTCTCTCTTCTTGTAAAGTTGTAATTATTTTAATTATTTTTATTTCCAAACTGATTTTAACCAGTTCTATAGTAAGGTAACATTCCAATAGACAATATGCAAAGCTTTTTTTTTCAGTTTACAGCAGTATTTATTACACAAAATTTAAGTAAAGCTTAACATGCCGATCCTGCCCCGATCTCCCCTAACGCTTTTTACTAAGGAGGGATACTTCCTAGGAGTATTATGAAAAACTTGGCCCCTGATTTAGATGTTAGGAACGTGAAGCAAACCCGGTAAACTCCACGTGGACGGGACAGACCTTCGATGAGGTGCGAACCCGCCACCAATTTCCATTGTTCCTCCTGATCAGGATGAAAATCTCTTATCGATTTAGCTGGTTTGAATGAATATATACAAGGATTTATACGGTTTATACAAAATTTTACATGCGATTTAATGGCATATCGTTGACTAAAATACACGGGTATAATGTTTTGAATATTTTTATATATAAATTATAAATTAATCTCCATTAAATTGGTGTTTAAATAGAGGTTTAAAGCTCGAGTTCAGTCTGGTGGAAAACGTAAAAAAAAATCAATAGTACAAATTTCTCACTGTTTATCCGAAAAATTATTAGTTTATATCATTTCCATATTATTATTTTTATATATAAAATTAAATTTTAGAGGTCCTACTATACCTACAACAGGAGCGAATACCCTTTCAACATCCGGTTCTAATGATTTACTTTATAAGATCGCACTTCGATATAATACCACCATTTTGTGACAATTTTAGAGGGGAACAAATGGTGACACTATATCGAAGTTCGACTTTATAAATAAATCATCTATTCTCTTCTCAAAATTGGAGGTCCAAGTAATTTTGAGTTTAAGAACTTGAGAGTAGTTAAGGTTTCTCCATCATTCATTAGAGTTTTAGGGGATGGAAGTGTTTAATTAAGGAATGACACTATTTAATGTAGTTTTAGTATAATTTTCGTAGAATTTTTCATTAAATTATTTAGTATAAATACATTTATTTCCATTTATTCCATTGTTTTCTCCAGATAATTCTTTTATTTCTAGATTTATTTGACATTTATATTACTTTTTCCTTCTTCACCTTTTGTAGCATCCTTTAACATTTGTTATATTAAGAGGGTATGTATTTGTTATATTATATTTTGTGGATAGAGATGACTTTTATTTAAAAAAATTCTAATTGGTATTAACAAATTAACTCGTCATTAAGACCAACTCCACTCGAGATACGACACACGACCTCTCTATCTTTCTCTTTATCTCCTCAACCCCTTAACCTTTCGTTACCAAATTTTAACAGTATTAATCCCCCTAATATACAAACCTTCCTGCAAAATTTCAGAAATTTTCGACAGGAGGCACAGGAGTTATTAAGCTTCAAAATGAATGAATAAAATCGTACCCCCCTCCTAAACACACACAAACACTAACATCTATACATATAAAACTTCTCAATTTTTTGCATTTTTCTGCATTTCAAGACCACCTGAGTTTAAAAAAATATATATAAAAATTTTGGGGGTCATGCCATACTTTCCCTCTGTTATATGTAATAATAGGGATAACAAAAATAATAAATTTATATTATTATTATTATTTTAACTGGAAAGAAATATATTTAGAAAATAATCAGATTTAATTTCTACAGATTTTGTTTCATTTTTATTGTTTTTTGCAAACATTAATCTTAATTTTATTCTATTTTACTTTCAAGTATAACAGATGGCGAGCTTAATGCTTTGTTTTGTACGTAATGCATTTTGATTTATCCTTTTCTTTTTTTTTTGGAAATATTTCTAAATAAATAATCAGTTAAAAAATAAAATTTATGTTCTTTAACACGTAAGAAAGGTAAAAAATAACATAAAATCTAACTTTAACCTTATTAATAAAACACAGAATCACCAAAAAGTCATTTTTGGAAGGTGCACTTTTCATTTTTAAGCCCCAAAATATGGTCCATCCGCCTGTCTGTCCGTCTATGCTTTGTTAACCTCGAGAATGAAATTAGTTAGATGAAAAACGAGACCGGTTAATAAACAGGAAAACAGAACCAGAACGTAGGGCCTCACGATACAGTTTCTGAATGTATTATTATAAACATTTTCTTTATACTTTTACAAACGAATTTAACGAGAGGAAGAAATTCTAAGCTTTTATTCCTTTCTTTTTATTATACATTAAATTCTCTTAAATCTTTCTATACTTTAAATTAAAGCTGTCAAAAATTTGGCAACCGATATTTATCTATTTTAACACTTTTTCCAATGAATTTCTCTATCGATTTATGCAATATACTGCATATAAATAAACGATTTTTATACCTTTTTATGCAAATAATTAACCACACAAGAATAGAAATTGCAGTAAAACGTGTCAAAAGAGAAAAAAAAAATATTCGATACCTTAAGATCCGGTTTACACAGGTTTTTATTGTAATTATTGTAGGAGGAACAAAGATAAACACACACACGAAAGAAAAGTTGATGTGTAGTAGTAAGTAACCTTCCGCCATCTGTTGCGAAAATGCAGTATAAAATTTTATTTCCTTTCTAAACAATACAAGCAATTTTTTGATATTTTTATCCTAATATTTCCCCATTGAATTAAGAAATATCATCGCAATGATTCCTGTTATACACATCCTTTGATTCAAGATATACCACTAAATTAATTCGTGACATATCATCGCTTGAATCAAGATATATCATTATTTTATTTAAGATATATCACTTGATTGAAGACATATTACCGCATTGATTCATAATATATCATCACTCAATTCAACAGATATCATTAAACAAACTTATAAACAAAAATATACTTAATTATCTACTAATTTCTTTTTCTATTTTACTATTTTATTTATTAAATTATTAAAGAAATAAATTAAATTTTCTTCAATAAAAACTTTCATTTTACTGTTGACAATAATAAATATAATTAACCTAATTTTTAATATTGATGTTAGCTAAACAACAATTTTCATTCTAAATGTAGAAAATTTGAATTTTAATAATGATTAAGATCATCATTAAGATTTAATGATGTTCCATTACAGGATAATAAGATAAACAAACATCAGTTAAGTGTTGCTCTTATAAACAAGGACAGATAAGGGTCAAAATCCATGGTGTAGATCCAGACTTTTTTCTTTTATAATCGACCTATAAGATATAATAGAAATTTTCAAAGTCATTATTACGCATAACAATACTTTATCCCATTTTTTCTGTTATATTATTAAGTTATCTAGTGAAGGAAATGAGATTTAAATCTAATTTCATACACTAGATATTGACACATAGAAGGTAAGTCAAGTGTTTTATAAAGGATAAGGGCTTAAGGAAATTAAAACAAATTATATTTATATCCCGTATATATATATATATATGTCTATGTGTTATTATGTTATATACAACCAAACCCATTCCCACTAAATAAGGTCACCCCAGTGATTTTCAAACCCTAACACTTAAACTTGTGTACACTTCATAATAATTCTCATTGACAATTGAAGATGAAGGACGGAGCTATATCGGAGTTGTACACAAATTAGCTTACGTGCTATTTTAAAATTATAAATTAAACTGAGAAAATACTTCTTTTTTTTTTATTTCTTTCAGAAGATTTTTAAATTATTATGGAATCAAGTATAAATAATTCAGGAAATATTCCAGCTAAGAGGGATCCTTTACAAGATAAGTACTTGATACCGGGTGAAGTGGAATTTTATAATAGAGTTAAACGATCGAAAGGAAGATTCGATATGTCGACTTGCAAAAATTTATGGGAAGGAGATGCTATTGAGGATCCAATTTCAATATATGAAAGTAAAAGGATCGAATTCTCACCCACAGACAGCGTGCAACACTTAGAAAGGATGTATCTACTTGGAGAGAACGTACTTGGAGTAGGGAATAGTAATACCCTAGCTGATTGGGGGAAGTATTTCGAAAAATATGAAGACGAGAAGACACTTTCACGTGCCATTTCTCACGTGTCTAGTTTGGTAGAAGTTGGAGCTCGAAGGAACAAGAAGAAGAGAAGAAAGAGGAAAAGTAGAGGAATCGAAAGCAACAACGAACCAAGGAACATAATGCAAATATTCGCACCATCTGACGTAACCGAAATGATTAGCTACGGGGGAAAAAGCAAGAAGACTAAGAAGGGAAGAGGGAAGAAGAAAACAAAAAGAAGAGAGAAGAGCAAAGGAGGAAAGAAAAGTAAAAGTAAAAAAGACATTAAAGTACCACGCGCACGAAACGTCATGCAAATATTTTCCAAACCGAGCACGGAAATCGTATTACCAGAACCGGATAAAGCGGTGACTATAGAAGAACCGGTACACACTCGAGTCACGAAAGAAGATAAAGGCGACGAAACTGTCATACAGATCAACACGGAAATTATTCCATTTCCGGTGCCGCCGGAAGTGCCTAAAAAACGGAAGAAACGTCACTTCGTCATATCTTCCCGGGAGAAGTTGCTAGACGAAATCAATTGTTACAACAAAGCAGCCAACGTTATTAAAGACGGAGTTTCGGATACTTCTATAAATAGTACGAGCTCGTCTTTAGTTATACATAGAAAATGTAAATGTTTGCATAAGAAAGGCATCCCGGAAGATGATAAAGCACTTTTATGGAAGCTAATAAAGTTAGAATGCTTATCGACTGAAACCGAAGAAGAAGAAATTGTAGAGAAGATCAGGAAGGAGAGAGAGAAGAAGCCAATAAAAGGTACAGGAAAACGGATAAAAATTCGAACAACCGGAAAATCGAATTACGAGAGGACAATAGAAGACAACGACGATATATTCCCGAAATTTATATACAAAACCACTGATAAAGTAACCAGCGAAGAGTTTGTAACGAGCGAGGATGCGATCTGTATCATCGATCGGAAATTAAAAAACAGGTGCAAGAAAGAAAATGACGTATACGAATCGATCACGAGGAAAAGGAAACTGAAAAAACCGGAATTAATTAACGAACACGGCTTATTGGTAACGGAATTAGAAACTCATAAAGTATGGCCGGCCAATATTTATGATGAGAACGTAGATCACGACTTGACAATAGGGAAGATGAAGCGCGAGTTCTTTATGGGTGACAGGATGATAAAGAGATATTGGGAGAATGCTGTAGACAATGGACCCCACAAAACTGCACTTATACAGAGTTTAACAGATGATACATTCGCTAAAAATATGAAAAATGTAAAAAAGAAAGGCGAAGCCGTGAAGAAGATAAATGTGGATACGATTTACGATGAGGATTATAAGGAGAATACACTGAAAATTACGACCAGCGAAAAGAAATTACCAGTCGAGTTAGTGTTGAATTTAAATGAGGAAGATAAAAACAAGACGTACATTCAGTATAAATCGAAAATTCATTTGAATAAACACGAAGGGGATGTAAAGAAATACGTACATATACCCGATATCAGGTTAAAAAATAAGAGGAACGAAAAGGATGAAGGTGAGAAAACTGGGAGAAGGAAAGAAGAGAAAAATCTTACTAAAACTAAATTCGTGAAGGTAAAAATGCCGTGTATAAATGCTGGAAGGACACTACCAAGGAAGAGCACCCTGGAGCTAGTTATATCCAGGAGCTCGTTTGAAGATAGTGATGCTGAAGAATGATCTAGCATCCCTTAGAAAATTGTATTTGAGGTGGAAAAAAAATGGTTATAAAACTACAAACAATTAAATATATAAAAGTTGTAACCCGTAAAATATCAAGTTAATTTTATTATTTTTAAAAAGTTATACAAAGTTTACGTAATAAAATCGTGTTTACTTAAAATCTTTACCTAACATTCGCTTTAAGGCAATGAAGTAATGCAGTCGTCTCTTGCATCACTTTTTTAAATCAATATTTAAAAAAAATACTTAATTTATTTTCAGTGTATTTTATTTTTATCTGAAAATAAATCTTAAAAATATTTTATTTAATATATATATATTTTTTTTTAGTTTAAATGAGTCAAATAGTAGGAATTTTCTGGTGATATTTTTGAAAAAGTTTTCTATGAATATTGCTTTATTTTTAAATTTCTATTTTATTTATTTGTTTTTATATACTTTGTTCATGTTTTTAAAGACATTTATCGTTTAGAATTCATTTAAATTCGCTTCTATACTTATATAAATTTTACTATAGACGTAGAAAAAATGTATATATATATATATAGGGCCTATATAACACAGTAAATACATGTATAAAATACATTCTTGTATACGAACATTCTTATACGTGTATTTATTTTTATATATAAATCCAATATAGAGTCTATAAAGCTTTATATACTGTACAATTTATATTATTTACTGTCAATACATAAAGGTACTTGTTCATTGTTATAATACACAGCTCTACATAAAAACACTTTATACACAATTTATTGTTAATAGACTAACAAGTAAATATTGTAAAATGTTCTTTACATCTAATTGTTAATTGTTATTATACAGTAAAACCTGTGTAAACGGACTGGCGCGGTTTCCGTTTTAAACAGGTTTTACTGTATATTGCAACAATTTTCTTGCTGTTATAATGCAAGGCTTTATATTGCTACTATGAAGTAGTATATATAAAGAACATGAATACAGTTTTACTTTTTTACAGTATTTACTTGTAGCTACTGGCAGTAAATAATATAAATTGTATGGCTTCTAAAAAAAAATAGCCTTTTTTTTTTTAAGTTAAGTGTAATAAAATACTTTGACTATAAATAGGAGTTCTGAAAGTATTTACAGGCGACTTTTTATATTAACAATATAAAAATAAATGATATTTTAAAATATTTTTAATACAAGGAAACAGCGTAAAACCTTAACTTACTCTTTACTATCTCATACTTAAATTTATTATTATAATTTAAGAACCGTCTATTAATTACCTGTTTTTAGTTTTTAAATTAATTGTAATTAGTAATTGTAATTAGCTTTTGAATTGGTTTTGAACCCCTTCCCTCCCTGTTGTGTACAATGATATTTTTGGCAATTCCTGTTGTGCACGACGTACTCTCGCTATCCCCTGCTGTGTACAATGATGGACTTCTGGCAATCCCCTGTTGTGCATGATGAACTTCCGCTATCCCCTGCTGTGTACAATGATGGACTTCTGGCAATCCCCTGTTGTGCACGACGAACTTCCGCTATCCCCTGCTGTGTACAATGATGGACTTCTGGCAATCCCCTGTTGTGCACGACGAACTTCTGCTATCCCCTGCTGTGTACAATGATGGACTTCTGGCAATCATCCCCTGTTGTGCACGACGAACTTCTGCTATCCCCTGCTGTGTACATTGATGGACTTCTGGCAACCCTTGCTGTGTACAATTATGGACTTTTGGCAATCCTCTACTTTAATTACGTCTATAATATGAGCCACGTTGAAATTAAAAATGACAGAAAATTCTGATAGTTTATCTCCCCACGACTAGTAAGTAATCTTATAAGAACAAATTTGCATGCCACTTACACAATGTCTCGATTCCCTTTTCTCTTCATCGTGTACAATAATGTACGTGACCTTCCCAAAACAGTCCCTTAAAATGATTAAATATACAAAATTAATTTTCTAATATCACCGGTTTAAACGGTTATAAAAGTGTTTTCTAATAATAAAAACACATTTATAAATGGGAATTTTATTTTGAATTATTTATGTTCGGGTCGTACATAATGAATGAATGTCGTCGTATCCTCATAAAATTGTCATTTTACCATAAAATTACACACTATTTTGGTCAGAAAATATGATTAAAGAATGTATAATTTCTCCAGAAAACTAAAAAAATATATATATAATTATTATAATACAGTAAAAGAAAACCTCAATAAAATAGAAACCTGCCTAAACGGGACAATTCCTCGAAGCGCAGTAGTTTTCTGTGTTAAAATTATATACGGTATCACCTCTGTCCAGTTTACACAGGTTTTTACTATATAATCATCTACATAATATTATATAATTACGTTTTATTTATAAAGAAATTTAATACTAGAGTTTAGTTAATTAACTTTGTTTTTTTTAAATTTATAAAATAAATTCATTTATTTTAATTATTTAATTTTTATTTTATTACATTTTACAAATCGAGTAATTTAATTCCGGACACAAATCAGCAGTTTCGTTATCTCTTTAAGTGAATTTATTACAGAATTAATCGATTTTTGTAGGAAAATTTCATCATTCTACAAGGAAAATGTTTGTTTGTATTATATTATTGATGATTAAACATCAAAGAAATCGGCATTTTATTTTATTTTTCACCTTCTTAAATAATTCAATTTTGTTAAAAACGCAAAAAAAATCATCGTTTTCATTTCATTGTTAAGAAATTGCATTTTTTTAAAATATAAAATCACGTTTTAGGTAATCGATTATTTAAAAAAATTACAGAAATCGATTAAAATTTTAATTGTATATTACAGTAAAATCTTTCCAAACTTAATAAACTTCTTCGTAACGGAACGACTTTCCTATGTTTAAAAACCTGTTAAAAAGGGACACTTTCCAAACTGGTAAAAATATATTCGGTACCGTTCTATTCCGGTTTACATAGGTTTTGCTGTATTATTAATAAATTCAACCCTAAACTATATTTTATAAATAAGTTTTTAAATAAAATGCAGTAATTTCTTAAAATTTTTATAATATTATCATAAAAATCAGTACCTGAATTATACTTTTTAAATTAAAAAAAAATCAATGAAAAAACAAAAAAAATTGTATTTTATTATTTAAAAAATCCAGTAAAAAATACAAAAAATTATCATTAGTTTTAATTATTGATTAAGAAATTGAGCAATAAATTACGTTTTTTTTAATAAAAAAGAAATCGATTGCTTTTTTTACAAAAATGCAGAAATTGATTATTTAACGCGTGAAGAAATAGAAAAGTATTTAATTTTATTCTAATTGTTTAAAAATTAACAATTAAATTTAATAATTAAAAAAAAAATTAGTTGTATTTTTACAAAAATTCAGTAAATAATTATAATATATTTTTTTATTCTTAAAAATTAAACTCATATTTTAATTTCTTATTATAAATACAGTAAAACCTGTTTAGAACGGAACCTCAATAGAAAGAAAACTCAACTAAATGGAAGAAAACCTGTTTTAAAACGGAAAAAAAAATTCGGTTTCGCGCGAGTACGATTTAAACAGGTTTATAATGTACTAAATTGCTCTTTTAGAAAACTTCAAAATTAAATGTATTAAAATGCAGTAAAATCTATGTAAACCGGACTCGCACGGTAGCGAAGATTTTTTCCTGCTTAGACAGGTTTTTGTCTTTAACAGGTTTTTAACATAAATCGCTACATATCGAAGAATTCTTCCCGTCTAGTTAAGTTTCCGTTCTATTAAGGTTCAGTCCGTTCTAAACAGGTTTTACTGTAGTTATAAATTTATAATTTTTATTTGTATTCTATTCATTATTACTTAATAAAAACAGAAAAATTTATTAAATACAGTAAAACCTGTTTAAACTGAACTGGTGCGGTACCGAATATTTCCTCCGGTTAGGCAGGTTTTCGTTTTAAACGAGTCTGTTTTTTTTAATTAACACATAAAATTCGTGCTTCTTAGACAGGTTTTTACCGTATAAAATAAATAAATCGCATTAATTTTTTAAAAATAAATTTGAAATTGAAATTTTAAATTTTTTTCTGTAATTTACAAAGAAATCGATTGAATTTTTACAAAAAGTCAGTAATTGATTTCTTTTTAAGAAATGTATTTATGAAACAGATTAAATATAAAATTTGTCTGTTTCGTAAATACATTTCTTAATAAATCAATTACTGACAATTTTTTTTAAAAAAAAGCAATCAATTTCTTTGTGAATGGAAGAAAGAATTGCGGATTTAATAATCAAACTTTTAAATAATACAATTAAAATTACGCGTGCGTAAAATACATAATTTTTATTTTGTCGTTTAAAAATACGGTGTTAAACGTATCGTTGGTTGTATTTATTAGAATTCTGGGAAGTAAAAAATAGGAGGGGGGATGGTGAGTCATTTACAGGGGCGATACTAGAAAATATCAACAGCAGATGGCGCTGCAAACTATACAATGAGTCGACCATAGAGACGAATTTAGACATGATCAATACGTCTCCCAAACATCTCTAGAAGACTTTAGTGTGACCGGAATGTACACATCACACCTATTTCACAACAAAGTGTATAATTGGACTAAACTACTGGATATTCTTAGAATACTATCCTTTGGAATAATATTATTAGGTAAGTGTTAAATTATACTAGAAACGGTAAACAACCTCACGTAAATGAGAGAAACACTATCACCATTGATTGACCCTTCTCCATTTATTTTTAACAAGTGTTAGTAATATTCATCAACACAGGAAAAAAAGACACACACACACAAACACACATACCCTCCTGTGTTTCTCTAAATAAACCACTGTTATTTGATTAATTATTACGGTTAATTCTTTAATTTATTCATCTTCATTTTGTATATAAGTTTTTTAAATATATATATGCTGAGGTTATTTTTAGATTTAGAAGTAAATGATATAAATGTTTCTTTGAAATGTTTATGTTGTTTACGTTCCTCTACGTCATATTTTCGTATAGAAATCTGAAGGAAACCCCCGTAATGAAGAATTGATGCTATTTTCGAATGCGTATATAATATAATATAATATATAAAAAATATACGTCTTATCACGAAGAAAGATAATGATTCTTTTTCACGTTGTGAGATAATGGTCGTGTGCTTTCAATCGATACAAATGTCGATCACGTTTGAATTTCCTAAAAGCACTATATGATATTTTTATGATAATGATAGCCATAAATATTCATTTTTTTTACAATTTTTCTCAGAAAATCGAAGGTTAGTTATGTATATTATTTAATTGTATAAAAAATTCGAACGTCAGGGTGCGTGACGAAACGATTAATTGCCTTCTGTTACAAGCGGCGATACCACCAAACAGTGCCATTTTCTGATCCGTTCTAATCGAGGAAAATGCACGTTCTGACGTAAAATTAGTAAATATTTTGCCATTTTGCATACGAAATTGCCAAAATATCATCGGCGTGCTACTTGTTTCTGGTGTGGTCTGTTTAATCTGTTACAAACCCAATGCTGAAACATGGCGCGAATCATCTTGTAATCCGATTACTCGAGACGATGGCTAAAATAAAATAAAGAATAAATATGATTAATTTCTTATTTTTTTATCATGGAAAAATTCGGGTTTATAAATTTAAAAATTCCATTTTCTAAATCTATCTTCTCTCTTCAGTTTTCCTCTTTGTTATACCACTAGGAGCTGAAGAAGAATGTATACGTGAGTATATTGTGATTAAATATACGAGATAATTAACGTATATATTACGGGATTAATTAATTCTTTTTCAATCAAATCCTTGTAAATTCGTGTAGATTCCAGGCTTTGGTGTTACGAATGCAATTCATGGAGTGATGCTCGCTGCAAGGATCCTTTCAATGAGAGTTCGGGACTTCAGGAACCAGCACTTTTGAGACGTTGCGAGGGATGCTGCGTCAAGATTGTTACAGATAAAGGAACAAGTAATATAAATATTTAAAAATCTACTCTTTTATTTCCTTTTTCTTTTTTAAAGTTTTGTTAGCGGAAATTAATTAAGCAGATTACTGGTAATAAATTCTAAATGAGCTTTTTCTTCATCATTTATAAATAGTGTAGCGATAAGTGCTGCGAGAATAAAATTGGATGAGCTTTCATTATTATATTTATGTAGCTTTCATCTGTTATCTTAATTGCTTTTAAATATATAAGCAATTAAATGCATAGTTGATTGCCTTTAAAAGCATTTTAGTATCTTTCCAGGCGAATTAAATGATTGTTAATTCTAGCTCCTGTAGGTTATTTACGATTTCTAGTTAGTGCTTTAAGCGATTTTAATGCTTTTAAGCGGTGCACTTTACTTATAAAACTCTATTACCTCTTTCTATTTTGTTTATTACAAGCAATTTATAATCGATCTTAAGTGCTACTTTAATTACTGTTTAAGCTTCCTTTATAGCTTTTTTTTTCTTTGTTAATTTATTGATTTTTTTCTTTTTAATCAAGCTTAACTTAATTAAGTTATTTAATTGCTTTTATAGAAATTTTCTTTATAATTAACTTCAAAGCTTTATAAAGGAAACTTAATTGATGTAAGCAATTTAATATCAAATTTCTGTTTCGTTAAGTAATTTTATTAAAGTCAAACCTCGATATAACGCCACCGAAATTTGCTTTAAATCGAAGGAAAAAATCAGGTTTAAGGCAAATTTGTGTGCTTTGAGAGCCACGTGATTCGGTGATAACAATACCCATCTGCGATGAAAAATCTTGCATTTACTAATAAACAAAGGACGAAGCATTCTCTAATTAATGTTTTAGACGAAGATCCGTTTGTACGTATTCCCTAGCGCTATAAAGAGTGGCGTTAAATCGAGGTTTGGTTTCAGTTTTAAGGCTATTAAACGTTTGCTTCTATTACGTAAAAAGTACAGGATTTAGAAGCAATTTTTCGTTTTATAACTTAATTTAAGAATATAATTTATGATTTACGAGAAAATTAACGTGTAAAATTATATTTTTAACGATTAAAAAGTTTATTTTTTCCTCCTCTCCTGTTTATATCTAAGCATTTTCTCATTCAGACGATGACATTCTTATTATATTTTCATACAAGAAGGTTTATTAATGCTTTAAAAGCCTTATAAAGGGGGGAAATTTATAGAATTTTCTTTAATAATGGTTTATACATAAACCATAAATAATATTTATTAGATTTTTTTTTTGTTTTAGGGAAATTTTATTTGAAATTCGTGCCGAACGTAACCCGAAATTACATTCACTTTACATATTGATACTAGAAAATATCAACAGCAGANTCCCCTGCTGTGTACAATGATGGACTTCTGGCAATCCCCTGTTGTGCACGACGAACTTCCGCTATCCCCTGCTGTGTACAATGATGGACTTCTGGCAATCCCCTGTTGTGCACGACGAACTTCTGCTATCCCCTGCTGTGTACAATGATGGACTTCTGGCAATCCCCTGTTGTGCACGACGAACTTCTGCTATCCCCTGTTGTGCACGACGAACTTCTGCTATCCCCTGCTGTGTACATTGATGGACTTCTGGCAACCCTTGCTGTGTACAATTATGGACTTTTGGCAATCCTCTACTTTAATTACGTCTATAATATGAGCCACGTTGAAATTAAAAATGACAGAAAATTCTGATAGTTTATCTCCCCACGACTAGTAAGTAATCTTATAAGAACAAATTTGCATGCCACTTACACAATGTCTCGATTCCCTTTTCTCTTCATCGTGTACAATAATGTACGTGACCTTCCCAAAACAGTCCCTTAAAATGATTAAATATACAAAATTAATTTTCTAATATCACCGGTTTAAACGGTTATAAAAGTGTTTTCTAATAATAAAAACACATTTATAAATGGGAATTTTATTTTGAATTATTTATGTTCGGGTCGTACATAATGAATGAATGTCGTCGTATCCTCATAAAATTGTCATTTTACCATAAAATTACACACTATTTTGGTCAGAAAATATGATTAAAGAATGTATAATTTCTCCAGAAAACTAAAAAAATATATATATAATTATTATAATACAGTAAAAGAAAACCTCAATAAAATAGAAACCTGCCTAAACGGGACAATTCCTCGAAGCGCAGTAGTTTTCTGTGTTAAAATTATATACGGTATCACCTCTGTCCAGTTTACACAGGTTTTTACTATATAATCATCTACATAATATTATATAATTACGTTTTATTTATAAAGAAATTTAATACTAGAGTTTAGTTAATTAACTTTGTTTTTTTTAAATTTATAAAATAAATTCATTTATTTTAATTATTTAATTTTTATTTTATTACATTTTACAAATCGAGTAATTTAATTCCGGACACAAATCAGCAGTTTCGTTATCTCTTTAAGTGAATTTATTACAGAATTAATCGATTTTTGTAGGAAAATTTCATCATTCTACAAGGAAAATGTTTGTTTGTATTATATTATTGATGATTAAACATCAAAGAAATCGGCATTTTATTTTATTTTTCACCTTCTTAAATAATTCAATTTTGTTAAAAACGCAAAAAAAATCATCGTTTTCATTTCATTGTTAAGAAATTGCATTTTTTTAAAATATAAAATCACGTTTTAGGTAATCGATTATTTAAAAAAATTACAGAAATCGATTAAAATTTTAATTGTATATTACAGTAAAATCTTTCCAAACTTAATAAACTTCTTCGTAACGGAACGACTTTCCTATGTTTAAAAACCTGTTAAAAAGGGACACTTTCCAAACTGGTAAAAATATATTCGGTACCGTTCTATTCCGGTTTACATAGGTTTTGCTGTATTATTAATAAATTCAACCCTAAACTATATTTTATAAATAAGTTTTTAAATAAAATGCAGTAATTTCTTAAAATTTTTATAATATTATCATAAAAATCAGTACCTGAATTATACTTTTTAAATTAAAAAAAAATCAATGAAAAAACAAAAAAAATTGTATTTTATTATTTAAAAAATCCAGTAAAAAATACAAAAAATTATCATTAGTTTTAATTATTGATTAAGAAATTGAGCAATAAATTACGTTTTTTTTAAAAAAAAAGAAATCGATTGCTTTTTTTACAAAAATGCAGAAATTGATTATTTAACGCGTGAAGAAATAGAAAAGTATTTAATTTTATTCTAATTGTTTAAAAATTAACAATTAAATTTAATAATTAAAAAAAAATTAGTTGTATTTTTACAAAAATTCAGTAAATAATTATAATATATTTTTTTATTCTTAAAAATTAAACTCATATTTTAATTTCTTATTATAAATACAGTAAAACCTGTTTAGAACGGAACCTCAATAGAAAGAAAACTCAACTAAATGGAAGAAAACCTGTTTTAAAACGGAAAAAAAAATTCGGTTTCGCGCGAGTACGATTTAAACAGGTTTATAATGTACTAAATTGCTCTTTTAGAAAACTTCAAAATTAAATGTATTAAAATGCAGTAAAATCTATGTAAACCGGACTCGCACGGTAGCGAAGATTTTTTCCTGCTTAGACAGGTTTTTGTCTTTAACAGGTTTTTAACATAAATCGCTACATATCGAAGAATTCTTCCCGTCTAGTTAAGTTTCCGTTCTATTAAGGTTCAGTCCGTTCTAAACAGGTTTTACTGTAGTTATAAATTTATAATTTTTATTTGTATTCTATTCATTATTACTTAATAAAAACAGAAAAATTTATTAAATACAGTAAAACCTGTTTAAACTGAACTGGTGCGGTACCGAATATTTCCTCCGGTTAGGCAGGTTTTCGTTTTAAACGAGTCTGTTTTTTTTAATTAACACATAAAATTCGTGCTTCTTAGACAGGTTTTTACCGTATAAAATAAATAAATCGCATTAATTTTTTAAAAATAAATTTGAAATTGAAATTTTAAATTTTTTTCTGTAATTTACAAAGAAATCGATTGAATTTTTACAAAAAGTCAGTAATTGATTTCTTTTTAAGAAATGTATTTATGAAACAGATTAAATATAAAATTTGTCTGTTTCGTAAATACATTTTTTAATAAATCAATTACTGACAATTTTTTTTAAAAAAAAGCAATCAATTTCTTTGTGAATGGAAGAAAGAATTGCGGATTTAATAATCAAACTTTTAAATAATACAATTAAAATTACGCGTGCGTAAAATACATAATTTTTATTTTGTCGTTTAAAAATACGGTGTTAAACGTATCGTTGGTTGTATTTATTAGAATTCTGGGAAGTAAAAAATAGGAGGGGGGATGGTGAGTCATTTACAGGGGCGATACTAGAAAATATCAACAGCAGATGGCGCTGCAAACTATACAATGAGTCGACCATAGAGACGAATTTAGACATGATCAATACGTCTCCCAAACATCTCTAGAAGACTTTAGTGTGACCGGAATGTACACATCACACCTATTTCACAACAAAGTGTATAATTGGACTAAACTACTGGATATTCTTAGAATACTATCCTTTGGAATAATATTATTAGGTAAGTGTTAAATTATACTAGAAACGGTAAACAACCTCACGTAAATGAGAGAAACACTATCACCATTGATTGACCCTTCTCCATTTATTTTTAACAAGTGTTAGTAATATTCATCAACACAGGAAAAAAAGACACACACACACAAACACACATACCCTCCTGTGTTTCTCTAAATAAACCACTGTTATTTGATTAATTATTACGGTTAATTCTTTAATTTATTCATCTTCATTTTGTATATAAGTTTTTTAAATATATATATGCTGAGGTTATTTTTAGATTTAGAAGTAAATGATATAAATGTTTCTTTGAAATGTTTATGTTGTTTACGTTCCTCTACGTCATATTTTCGTATAGAAATCTGAAGGAAACCCCCGTAATGAAGAATTGATGCTATTTTCGAATGCGTATATAATATAATATAATATATAAAAAATATACGTCTTATCACGAAGAAAGATAATGATTCTTTTTCACGTTGTGAGATAATGGTCGTGTGCTTTCAATCGATACAAATGTCGATCACGTTTGAATTTCCTAAAAGCACTATATGATATTTTTATGATAATGATAGCCATAAATATTCATTTTTTTTACAATTTTTCTCAGAAAATCGAAGGTTAGTTATGTATATTATTTAATTGTATAAAAAATTCGAACGTCAGGGTGCGTGACGAAACGATTAATTGCCTTCTGTTACAAGCGGCGATACCACCAAACAGTGCCATTTTCTGATCCGTTCTAATCGAGGAAAATGCACGTTCTGACGTAAAATTAGTAAATATTTTGCCATTTTGCATACGAAATTGCCAAAATATCATCGGCGTGCTACTTGTTTCTGGTGTGGTCTGTTTAATCTGTTACAAACCCAATGCTGAAACATGGCGCGAATCATCTTGTAATCCGATTACTCGAGACGATGGCTAAAATAAAATAAAGAATAAATATGATTAATTTCTTATTTTTTTATCATGGAAAAATTCGGGTTTATAAATTTAAAAATTCCATTTTCTAAATCTATCTTCTCTCTTCAGTTTTCCTCTTTGTTATACCACTAGGAGCTGAAGAAGAATGTATACGTGAGTATATTGTGATTAAATATACGAGATAATTAACGTATATATTACGGGATTAATTAATTCTTTTTCAATCAAATCCTTGTAAATTCGTGTAGATTCCAGGCTTTGGTGTTACGAATGCAATTCATGGAGTGATGCTCGCTGCAAGGATCCTTTCAATGAGAGTTCGGGACTTCAGGAACCAGCACTTTTGAGACGTTGCGAGGGATGCTGCGTCAAGATTGTTACAGATAAAGGAACAAGTAATATAAATATTTAAAAATCTACTCTTTTATTTCCTTTTTCTTTTTTAAAGTTTTGTTAGCGGAAATTAATTAAGCAGATTACTGGTAATAAATTCTAAATGAGCTTTTTCTTCATCATTTATAAATAGTGTAGCGATAAGTGCTGCGAGAATAAAATTGGATGAGCTTTCATTATTATATTTATGTAGCTTTCATCTGTTATCTTAATTGCTTTTAAATATATAAGCAATTAAATGCATAGTTGATTGCCTTTAAAAGCATTTTAGTATCTTTCCAGGCGAATTAAATGATTGTTAATTCTAGCTCCTGTAGGTTATTTACGATTTCTAGTTAGTGCTTTAAGCGATTTTAATGCTTTTAAGCGGTGCACTTTACTTATAAAACTCTATTACCTCTTTCTATTTTGTTTATTACAAGCAATTTATAATCGATCTTAAGTGCTACTTTAATTACTGTTTAAGCTTCCTTTATAGCTTTTTTTTTCTTTGTTAATTTATTGATTTTTTTCTTTTTAATCAAGCTTAACTTAATTAAGTTATTTAATTGCTTTTATAGAAATTTTCTTTATAATTAACTTCAAAGCTTTATAAAGGAAACTTAATTGATGTAAGCAATTTAATATCAAATTTCTGTTTCGTTAAGTAATTTTATTAAAGTCAAACCTCGATATAACGCCACCGAAATTTGCTTTAAATCGAAGGAAAAAATCAGGTTTAAGGCAAATTTGTGTGCTTTGAGAGCCACGTGATTCGGTGATAACAATACCCATCTGCGATGAAAAATCTTGCATTTACTAATAAACAAAGGACGAAGCATTCTCTAATTAATGTTTTAGACGAAGATCCGTTTGTACGTATTCCCTAGCGCTATAAAGAGTGGCGTTAAATCGAGGTTTGGTTTCAGTTTTAAGGCTATTAAACGTTTGCTTCTATTACGTAAAAAGTACAGGATTTAGAAGCAATTTTTCGTTTTATAACTTAATTTAAGAATATAATTTATGATTTACGAGAAAATTAACGTGTAAAATTATATTTTTAACGATTAAAAAGTTTATTTTTTCCTCCTCTCCTGTTTATATCTAAGCATTTTCTCATTCAGACGATGACATTCTTATTATATTTTCATACAAGAAGGTTTATTAATGCTTTAAAAGCCTTATAAAGGGGGGAAATTTATAGAATTTTCTTTAATAATGGTTTATACATAAACCATAAATAATATTTATTAGATTTTTTTTTTGTTTTAGGGAAATTTTATTTGAAATTCGTGCCGAACGTAACCCGAAATTACATTCACTTTACATATTTTATTATATAAAGAATATCATGCGACGATTTTGAATGCTGAACAATTGGTTTAGTATTGAAAAAAAACACCATTCCCAGAAAATGTTTTAAGCAGAAAATAGTAAATACTTTCAACTAGGAAGCAGGAATAATAATAAGAAAAAAAAATCCATTTGTTATACATCAGATCTCTTATGTAAATATTGAATTGCCATTACAAATTCATACATTGTTCTAAAATGTAATATTTATTGAATTTTTTGGGCATCTCAAATGTAATTTTGTTGAGGAATGTCCTTCTAAATTTTAGTGAGTTCTAAAGGAATTTTTTAAGCGAGTTGTAAAGGATTCTTGGGAGTTTATGTCTCTAAAATGGATCTTTTTAATCATGTCATAAAGAGGTTTTTCATTCTAAAGGAGGTTTTTAGAGAGTTCTAAAGAGATTCTTCATCTAAATAGAATTCTAAAGGAGTTTTTAATTACGTCTAAAGAGGTTTTTTTTTTAATTCTAAGGAAACAGTGAAGTCTTTCATTCTAAAGGAACAGAGAGATCTTTCTTTCTAAGGAAGGTTTTAGAGACTTTTAAACAAGTTTTTCTTTTTCATTTTAAAAGAATGTTTAGAGATATTTAAAGAAATTTTTCATCTAAAGAGAATGTGAAGGGTTTCTAGTGAATTCTAAACATGTTATCTCTCTAAAATTCTGTTAAATTTAAGAAGTAATACCCAATTCTTACTCCTTAGATATTCACAGAATTATAGAATGTCTATATAGAATTATAGAAAAATAACTAAAGATTAAAACTGAATATGTTTATAAATATACACATTACAGACATAATTTAAGTTTAAGACACTCACTTAAGTTTTAATTTAGACTCAGAAATTATTCTTAGCTGGCCTTAGATTTGTAGCTATGGCACATAATAGGTCCCTTTTTTCCTTCTATCAAATAATGATACACGATGCCCTAGCTACAGTTTAGTATTTCTTATAAAGTTTAGAGGATTTTCTTAGTATCTGTAACGGTATTTCCTAATTTATTTCTGGTAATGACCCACATTCTCTTACTGAATGATCTTCGTACAGTACATCCCACTGTTTGTTGATAAACAGTGATACAGCTGTATCTAAAAATACTAAGAGGTTTCTAACGCGTATTATTGAGATTACAAGCCTCAACTTCATCCCCCAAGAAACCGGAAATAATACTAAAGATGCTGCTCCTCTTCCGATCTGAAAATCGAAGATATTCCTCTTCCGCATCCCAAAATCATCAGACGAAAAACGACTTTTCGGATCGAAAAATACTTTTTAAAATTGAAAAATATTTGTAGTAACGTTAATAAAATGGTTCATATACGTTAGATAAGAAAGAGTATAAGAAGAGAAACTATCGATAATCAATGAGTAAGAGGAATTACAGCTTTGGGGTGTAAGATTTGTAATTAAGATCCATTCAAGCTTCTGAGTTATTGTTTTAATAATTAATTAACCTTAAAATAACTTTTAAATTAATGACTCATAAGTAGTTGAACCATTAATTTTTTTAAAAAAAAAAGATCGAATTTTTTCAGTGTTAAAAACCAGAAATTTGGGTTAAATCATTTAAAAAAATGGCTGTAAACAAGTTAATATGAAGTATATAACGTGATAAATAAGCAATTTATATAGTTTTCTAGTTATAAATTGAGTTTTTTAGATTAAAAAATATAATGGTCCGAACCCATAACCTGTTACGAAGCAGCTGCACGTAACGTGTAACCAATTGAGTCACGATTTAGTAGATTTTTTGGAGGATTCTATCGTTATAACAATGATTTTATAGCCTTTATATTGTGATTTTATAGGCTTTAAATGATTTCAATTTAATTTTGACGTGTAAAATTTCTTAAAAAAATATAAACAAGTTGTTTTTTTACACGCCATTACATTTATATACTGTATTATTTATTTTTTATATCCATTCATATCCTTACAGAGTTGCTGTAAATGCTTATCTACAGATTTAACATTTATTATTTTCATTTTTTTTATATTATTTTTTTAGTTCTGGAGCAGCGAATTGTTTTATTTTTCTAAAATTTTTACGCTTGTCAGTAAATTTTCTTAATGAACTCAGCCTAGGATCGATTCAGTACAACGAGTTTTAACGTTAAATATCTTAAAATAAATCCTCAAAAATGCTGGATTAATGATTTATTACGTGTTTAAGAAAGTAAATTTTGGAATTTATAGTTATAAATTCTCAATTTTTGTATAAATGGAAGCTGTAGAAGTAATCAGAAATCACTAATTTAACCTTAAATAGTGTATGTGTGTTTATTTATATAACATAGCAGTGCCAAAATACTCCTACTGAAAATTAATTATAAATAGTAATTTTTTTATTTTTTTAACTGAAGTCGTATAAATTCGTAAAAATTTCAATCGAATTTTTTGCTTACTCGGAGTTAAATACGCAACTTGTAGCCTGAGCTTTCTGTTGAGACTCCAATTCGTATATCGCTCTTTATATTAAGACCCATTTTTAGCTCGCTCATTATATTAATTAAGACTCCATTTTTACAGTTCATCCTTTATATTAAGACCTCAATTTATATCCCGATCTTTATGTTGAGACCACAATTTCTAGCTCGCTCTTTATATTAAGATCCCATTTTACAGCCCACCATTTATATTAAGACCCCATTTTACAGTTCATCCTTTATATTAAGCCCCATTTTATAGCCCACTTTTTACATTAAGACCCCTCTTTATAGCCTGATCGTCATGTCAAGATCGCAATATACAGCCCAATCTTTCTACTAAGACCCCAATTTATCGCTCGCTCTTTATGTTAGAACTCCAATTTATAGCTCGATTTTTATGTTTAGACCACAATTTCTAGGTCGCTCTTTATATTAAGACCCCATTTTACTGCCCACCATTTATATTAAGACCCCATTTTACTGTTCATCGTTTATATTAAGCCTTATTTTATAGCCCAATTTTTACATTAAGATCCCAATTTATATCCTGATCGTCATGTCAAGATCGCAATTTACAGCCCAATTTTTGTACTAAGACTTTATTTTACAGTTTATCCTTTATATGAAGACCCCAATTTATAGCCCGATCATTATGTTGAGACCACAATTTCTAGGTCGCTCTTTATATTAAGACCCCATTGTATAGTCTATCGTTTATATTAAGCCCCATTTTATAGCCCAATTTTTACAGTAAGACCCCAATTTACAGCCCCATCGTCATATCAAGACCGCAATTTACAGCCCAATCATTCTACTAAGACCCTATTTTATACTCTAATCTCTATATTAAGACTCCATTTTCATAAAATAATAATCATAAAAATATTAATAAACTTAAGAAATATATATATAAAAATCTTATTAAAAAAACAACTTGCGGATGATTAATAAACTTTACGATAGTTTTCACTTAATAATTCAAGAAGTAAAATGAATAAATTATGAATACAAAATGCCACAAGTGAATCGAGTTCTTTCAACTTTCATTTTATTTTTATTATTATTTTTTTTTTAATTTTTCCCTTAAAATTATATAATATTAACTCAATTAATTATACACGTAATACATTAAACTTTTTTAATTATCAAAATAACATTTTCGTGTATTGAATAAATCGTGTTTTTTTATTATTATTGAAAAAGTAGCAATTCTTTTACTAGAAAATTAAATTACTTTGTGTAATTATTATGGAATTCATGTTTAATTTATTGTATTTTCGTGACTGTTTCTACAAAAATCATCACGCAACTTTGTTTACATTTGTCTACTGTTAATTTTCCCTGTCTGGATTCTGTTTTTTTTTTTTCTCCCTTTAATTTTGGATTTTGGATTTCTATATTTTTCTTTTTANATTTGTTTTTCTTACTACAGTTATTTTTTTAAATGTATTACTTGGCTTTAATTTGAGTATGTTTTTCGCGTTGGAACGAATTATTTGGTTTTACATGTAATCGTATGGGAAAAGATGATCCACCTTACGACATTTTCATGATACGATCTCAGTTTCGGAACGGATTAATTTCGTATCCTGAGGTACCACTGTATTTGGATTTCTTTATTTCTTTATTTTTGGATTTTTTTCTTTATTTTTGGATTTTGGATTTCTATATTTTTCTTTCTATATTTTTGGATTTCTTTATTTTATACTTGGATTTCTTTATTTCTTTATTTTCTCTTTATTTTTGGATTTACTCTAAAATTCCTCCAAAAAATTCCAATTCTTTTGGAGGGATTTTAGAGACTTTAATGTAAATAAAATCAAACATTTAATGGTAATTTTTAAAAGTAAAAATTTTTAAAATATTTAAACAATTTTCTCTTACAGAACAGGAAGCAATCAGGAGGACCTGTACATCAAATTTACAAATCAACCTGTTTCTTGTCGATCACGTTTGCATGAAAGAAAGCGAAGGTAAAGGCACTATGTGTTTTTGCGAGAGTGAAGCATGCAATTCAGTTCCTTCTTTAACTATAAGAAATGATATTTTGCTTTGGTCTCTATCTCTATCAATCATTAAAGGCTACTATAGACTTTAGTAACGAATATAATGGAAAATAAAGGCTAGGAAACTCTAAAAAAAAACAATTTAGTCTCAGGAACGTAGACGATATAAAATGCAGATTGTATGTAAAAAAATATATATATAAAAACGATAAAAAATGTACAGTATAATAATAATTTAGTATAACAATTGCATATTAAATTGATCAATTTGTTTGAATTTTTTTCTTCTAAAAAAATCATGTAAATACGTGCTTTCAAGTGTTTAAAAGGTGGGATATTTCATTATTATAATGTGAAGTTTGCAATAATTAATATATTATATATTATACATATATCTATACACACATATATATATATATATATAAAAGTTATAAATTTCTGTTATCTGTTTGTATAATTTAATATAGACAATCATAAGGCTCAACTTGAGTATGTGTATAAATTGTCTTTGTTCTTAAAAAATATACCTTATAAATTATTAATTTTTAGTTATAGATCGATGGATAAATAATTAAACAAGTGAGAAAAGTTTGATATAATAGTAAACAATTATAATTTTCAATTGTTAATGTTAAATTTACATAAATTTATACGTGTAAGAGCGACGTTTCCGGCGATCGAAAAATGCAATAATCTATAAATTTATACCAAAAATTACGTTTTATTTGAATAATTTAAGCATTAATTAATAAATATATAAGATAATTTATTAATTTAACACGTAATAAACATGTAAATTTAGCCCATAGTTTCAGTTTCGTGCGGCGAAAATTAAATGGAATGCGTTTAATACAGACACGAAAAAATCAAAAATAATAATATTTAATTCATTCAAATATATTTTATATTAAACATATCAACATCTTTACGTATTGTACATACCTTTTAAGATATTTTTATAATCATTTATAATGTATAATCCTCGTATTGTATGTTATGTATGAGTAAAGCATCCCCCCAGCTCTGTTGTGTAGGTATATATACCAAGAGTTTGTTTGTACTTAAAAAAAAATATAAGTATTCTCTTATGATTATGTATAGTAAAATGTACAGTTGTACTAAAAATAATTGCAATATTCGATTGCTCAAATATATCAAGTGGAATGTCAAACGAATGGTTAAAGGTGTACTCGTTACACACACATATATAGGCCTATATAAGTTACTATATCTGTTAACATGTTCTAAACTTTGTTGTATAGATTCTAATGGTGGGAAGGATGAGGAACAGAGAAAATACATGTGCTTATTCTCCATTTTTAATGTCTATCCAACACACAAAAAAAAAATAAAGAAGCCATTAATTTCATTCTGTGATCCTTGCGCCGGCTTGTGCCTAATTTAAAAAAAAAAAATAAAATAATAAATAATAATAATCCCATAAAGCCTAATTGCCGTCTTTAAATATCATTAAATCCTGCCGATTTTTGGATATTCTTTAATTAAATAATTAAAGAAATTAATGCATTTATTAGGCTAAATTGCTTATTAACACGTTTAATTATGCTTAGGTAATGTTAGAAAGGTATTAATGGTTATTAGATTGCTGGAAATTAATGAAGTTTTAGCGATTCTTCATTCATTTATACAAATTTTTCTTCAGTTTTGGTGACTTTTTTTGAATTTTGAAACGTTTAATTTGATATTCAATACGTTCTAACTGAGCTCTTGAATTAGTACAGTTGAATCCAAGAGCACTAAAGTACACTTTTTAATACGCCATTTTATTGTATTTATGTATGTATCCAATTATCTATGTTAATTCGTATCTTGCCTCATCAGAAACTCTGATAACACGGAACAAAGTAACCATAAAGTACAAGAATATTAAAGCATTTATGACGATTACAATTAAAAATTCTTTAATATATTTTTAAAATATTTTATCGCCGTGTGAAATCATCCGAATAAATTCTTCTTTAAAATTTTCTACACCCCAGTTCCGAGTATAACGCGCACCCCTCCGAGCTGTGCATTGTCTTTATTGGCAAAAATACTATTCCAGTACATACAACTCGCTCCGGATAAGGCGTTTAATCGGGATTCAACAGTAAGTCGACACCCCTATAACACTGTTGATTTTCCGTTTTATATGAATTCCATATTGTACGAGTCACTTAAATTTTACAAATACGTGAGCTGTTCACAGCCCGGCACACGTATTTGTAAAATCTAAGTGACTCGTATAACGTTGAATTCATATAAAACGGAAAAATCAACCGTGTTATAGGGGGGTCGAGTTGTACTTAAAGAGGCATTTTTTTTTTTTTATATAGGGAGCGTGCAATTGTTTTGTGTAATAATATCTCCCATTTTTTCTTTACTTTCTACTCGAATATCTTATGTATTTTTTAATACACTATAAGCTTTTCTATAGTACAAACAACTTTAAATTACAACCTCATTTTAACCTCTAAAACTTCATTAATTTTTGCAGCACCACAACAATATCTATAATAGTATTATAGATTAATAGTACATTAAAGAAACTACGTAGAACAGTATAAAATATAGTAAAAAAAAAATACACAAATTAGTAAGACATAAAACCTATCACAGTATTTAAATTACATCATTTTATTATTAAAAAAAAAGAGAGAGAGAAGAGAAAAAAACACGCAAAATTAGTGTGACGTAGGAAAATAATTANGTATTTATCAACCCGCGACTCGGTTGTAAACTCTCTCTCTCGAACGGAATAGTATAATTAAGTCCGATAATATGCCCGATATCTCTGTATTTTCTTTGTTTATTATTAAAATTGTTATTTGTTAGAAAATATGGAGTCCGAGTAAGTCACTTCCTCGTCTCTCTCCTCACCTCTACTCCGAATCCAATCGCTCACCCGCTACCGCTCGCAAATCTTTAGACTTAACGTCGCGATTTCCGAGTCCCCTAGAGACTCGGTGGTGTCATCCTGACAGGGCGCCAAAGAGGTGCCGACCCTATGGTCACAATATGGTCAAAATTTTATTCGTTGAGACGCGTTTTGTGTCTTAGCCCCTCTTCGGTCAGCATTATATCTTGGAATAACATAGATGTATTTTCAGTTGTCATATATGTTTTTCCAAGACTGAGGAGGGCTAATGCACAAAACACGTCTTGACAAATAAAGTTCTGAAATAAAAAGTTGATGATGAAAATTGCCAAGTATCTATGAATTCACCCAGTCGTGACATTGAACCAAATCTTGAATAATTGTTTTTATGTTTTACATTTTTATGATATTGTACTTATTTGTGTTTATTCTGCAAAAAAAAAAAAAAAAAAAAAAAACACTGAAATATATCGAATCAGGATATATTCTGTCCGGCTTAAGCAGGTTTTACCGTATATAATTATTTAAATAAATAATATATAGATATATATATATATACATATATTCATCTATATTTAGAAAAATCAAAAATAATAATGATAAATGATGCCCTATTTTATAAAAATGGGCACATTTTAATGTATATGTTGATAATATTTAATGCTTTTCAAATTATATGTTATTGAGAATATAATAAAAATTATTTTAAACCTAATTTTTGGTTCTATTTTTGGGGGATTTCGAGTGTTATGCTAAATATAAGCATAGATAACATTTTGACATTGCATCACATCCAATTTTAAACGGTGTGTTTTTCCACATTCCACGAACATGTGTTAAAGCTTCAGTTGGATTATTTTTACTTAAAGCTTGCTTACTCCTATACTTATTAACTTAGTTTAATTATAATTAAATTTAAATATAATTAAATTTAATTATAATTAAGTTTTAACAATAAAAAAATGTGCATTTTTTAATGGGATTTCCTCCCTCTATTATTATTATTATTTTAAAATGTTGGTATATTATTGAGAATTTGTCATCAGAGTTTAATTGTAATTAATTTTAATTACAATTAAATTTTAATCATTAAAAAATGTATTTTTTTAATAGTATTCTTATTGTTGTTTGCGTGGGTTTATTTATTGTTTTTTGGTGAAAAATAATAATTTAATGAGGATTTTCAGGCAGATTTGTTGTGGGTGTAAATTATAATATGTAACAAGAGTTTGCCCGCCACCAATTGTGTGAAAATATGAGGCCCTAAGCTTTATTGAGCCATAAAGTGAGGATGTAAACACAGCGTTAGAACTTAAGCTATATAGACTCAAAACGTGAGGACCTAAGCTATATAGATTGATAAGTGAGGCCTTAAGCTACTATATAAACTCAAAAAGTGGGGCCTTAAGCTAATATATAGACTGAAAAAGTGGGGCCTTAAGCTACTATATAGATTCAAAACGTGGGGCCTTAAGCTACTATATAGGTTTAATAAGTGGGACCTTAAGCTACTATATAAACTCAAAAAGTGGGGCCTTAAGCTAATATATAGACTGAAAAAGTGGGGCCTTAAGCTACTATATAGATTCAAAACGTGGGGCCTTAAGCTACTATATAGACTCAAAAAGTGGGGCCTTAAGCTACTATATAGATTCATAACGTGAGGCCTTAAGTTGCAGTTTTTTCTCCAGAAAATATATAGATAAAACAATTTTAATTAATATTTTTCTATTTGTAATGTTAGAAAAATAATATTTCTGGCTCTAAAAATGCGAAATTTGCAAAAAAATAACATGTGAATGAAAGCGATTTTATTGTTGTTATTTGAGAAAAGGCACAATTTTCTAAAAATAACAAAGAAAACAATTTAAAAAAGACAATAAAACTGCTTTCATTGTCATGTATTATTTTTATTGCAAATTTTGCATTTTTAAAAAGCCAGAAATATCATTTTTCTAACATTTCATCCCATCCCTCATCCTCTTCCCACTCATCTCCATCTTCCTTATCACAGTCTAATATGTTTGGAAGGATCAAACTCTGCTCTTAATTGTAGTCGAATATAGGCTAAAACCCATACTTTTTCCTCTCATAAATAAATTACTTTATTAGGCAAACATTAATATAATTTGTATTATTACTTCTTAGCTACATAAGGGCAATTTCGGCTTACGTGCAGCAAGATGACTTGTTTCTACCAGGTTTAACCGTCAGAGAACATTTAATTTTTCAGGTAGGATATATATATAAAATAGTTGTTTATTTATTTATTAATTAAATAACATAATTTTCTATCAGATATAAATTCCGTATTATATTATAATTAAAATTTTTTTAGGCAAAATTACGAATGGATCATAGAACAACCAGGAAAGAACGATTACAGAGAATTGAAGAAATTTTAAAAGAGGTGAATTTCTGTGTTATAAACTTTTAATATTTATATCCAGTTTTTAAATGGAAGTTTATGTATTTAGTTAGGACTTAAAAATTGCGAGAATACAATTATAGGACAACCTGGATTCAAGAAAAGTTTATCCGGAGGCGAAAGGAAACGTTTAACCTTCGCAACTGAAGTAAAACAATTTATATTATATTTAATAACGATATTTATTTAAGTTAAATCTAAATAAATCGATATATTTTAGATCTTAACAGACCCAGCATTACTGTTCTGTGACGAGCCAACTACTGGTCTCGATTCATTTATGGCACACAACGTAGTCAGTATATTATATGAAATGGCTTCTAAAGGGAAGATCGTTATCTGCACCATCCATCAACCGTCTTCTGAAGTCTTTCGAATGTTCGATAGGTTAGAAAGTTGTATTTCTTTTTATAAAATGTTATTACACGGTAATTGTCGTATTTGGAGATCAGGAAACACTCGTGTTTTCCGAAAAATACGAGCAAGATAGCCCGACATTCAATGTCTGGTTCGTACCGACCTCCAAGCGTATGTTGTCCCACTTTTCTTTATCGAACACAAAGATCTCCCGATGTCACCTCCTTAATTTCTTTCTGTGAGGCTCCGTATAGGACAGAGTGCACGCAATAAGGATAATCTAGAAATTGAAATGAGATGTTTAGAGAGAAATCGAGTGCATGTTTGATATTCTGAGAGCGACAAGAAGAGAAGATGTGGCTCCTTTGATGTTCACTTAGAAAAATTCTTTTTGAATTAATAAACATTGTATAATTAATTGTTTTTTTCTATGTATCTGTTATATGCCTNATTGAGACAAAGGAAGAAAACAAAATTTCCATTGAGACAAAGAAACAAAACAGAATTTCCATTGAGACAAAGGAAGAAAACAAAATTTCCATTGATATAAAGGAACAAAACGGAATTTCCATTGAGACAAAAGAAGAAAACAAAATTTCCATTGACACAAAGGAACAAACACAGAGAAATTTCATTCAGACAAAGGAACAAAAACAGAAATTTCTTTTAGACAAAGGAACAAACACAGAGAAATTTCATTCATACAAAAGAGAAATTTCATTCATACACCATAAATTCCATTGGGACAAAGAAACAAAAAATAATATTGGAAATATAGCAATAAAAACATAATGTTTAGACATAAACATAAATTTCGATGAAGAGAACTAAACACACGGGAAACACATCATTAATTTACTGTGCCAACTTTATTATACAAGCAAATACATTTGGGGCTTTTATTCCTTTATTACAGATCTACTTAATTAAATCACGAATGCTGTATTATACTAATACCGAATGCATAATAATTTTTGAAAATTTACAGTAAATTACCTTAGTTTTCAAGTATACTAAAATGAAAACTTTTTATAATAAATCAAAAAGGGCCTTATTAATCACTACAAAATTTTAAAAATACAGTAAAATCTGAGATTTTTTTCGTTTTAAAAAAAAACAGAAGAGTTTCGAAGAATTCGTCCCCTTTAGGCAGGTTTACGTTTTATTGAGGTTCCGTTCTAAATAGGTTTTACTGTATTACGTTTTAACTACTAAAAAAAACTCACTTTCAAGTGAAATTAAAGGTTCAGTTGACAAAAAGAAGTGTCGACATAATTATAATCAATCAGAAATCTAATTAAGGATTATAATTAACAGGAAAATTGCCAGATTTTACTTTTTATTCCCTAAAAAAACGTTGAATAAGTCACTTGTAGTAAGTCTTTATTTTTATATTCTTTTTTGTTGTTTAGGTCCTAGGAGAGCCTTTTGTTTTATCGTACTCATTGGGGGAATTCGGCCAGGCCCTCAATGGGGATGACAAGGCCCGATAGACCACTCACGAGAAAAGTCCGCGTTAGACAGGTTCGGGCTTATAATGGTATATTTTGCACAGTGAATCGTTCTGTTCGGAGATTTATATTCTGTTTTAGGACTGGTTCGTTTAAGGCAGGTTTCACTTTATAAAGAAGTAACTAGCTTTACAATTTGCCTGTCTTCTAACTTTCAAGTAAATTTATTTAATATAAAGAAAAAATAACGTAAAAAATGATACGATAAAAGGAAAATAGCTCGAAAATGAGACTATAAAGAGAAATTACTAAGAAACTACTCGTGATATCATTTTATAAAAGGAAATATATATATATATATATACTGTATATTATTTATTTCTAAAGCATGTTTTTCTACAATAATTAAAAAGAATTAATTTTAAATATTATATATATATATATAAAATCAAACCGCTGAACAACGGGCACTAATAGGAACATGAAAAATGATCGTCGTTTAGAAATGGACGTTCTTTAGAGGTTATTCTGTGTGCCTTTTAAAAACGAAATAATCCCGAGAAATTGGCCATTGTTTGCAGGTTATTCTAAATGTATTTTTTCTAAAAAGACCTGAAAAAGTGGCCGTTCTTTAGAGGTTAGGATACTCTATATGCATTTCAAAACGAGTTCCTAAAAAGTGGCAGTTGTTTAGAGGTTTTTCTCTATGTATTTTTTCTAAAAAGACCTGAAAAAGTGGCCGTTCTTTAGAGGTTAGGATACTCTGTATGCATTTCAAAACAAGTTCCTGAAAAAGTGGCCGTTGTTTAGAGGTTTTCCTCTATGTATTTTTTCTAAAAAGTACCGAATAAGTGGCCGTTCTTTAAAGGTTAGGCTACTCTGTGTGCATTTCAAAACAAGTTCCTGAAAAAGTGGCCGTTGTTTAGAGGTTATTCTCTAAACAACAATGTATTTCAAAAGAAAAGTTTCTGAAAAAGTGGCCGTAGTTAACAGGTGGCCGTTATTCGAGATTCAACAGTATACATTTATATAAAATTCAATTTATCACATAAACAATTTTATACATTAATATAAACGGAAGGGGGAGAGAAATGTTTACGCCACATTTAAAAAAAATAAACACAGACATAATAAATTTTAATGTAAAATGTCTAGACTCAGGACAATACTTAAAAAGGATAATAAATTCTTATTTTTTAACCGAGATAATAAAGATAAATGTAAAAAATTTACCATTTGAAAAAAAACCCACCCGATAATACTTTAAACAAAATAAATTCAATTTAATCGCGATTTATTAATCGAATTAACTTATTATAATATTAATTCGTTTAATATAATGAATAAAAATAAAATACAATTACTAGAAATATCTATATTTAATATAATATTGAATAAATAATAAAAGTGATTCGGACAGACACACACACGACTTATCAATCAATAACTTGATGAAGTTGAAAGAGGGGAGATTATTTTTTATATTTCTGATGGATTTTTACGGAAAAATTATTAAATTTTATTAAAAAAAATGATTTATTTTTTACTTGTTGAATCGACTTTTAATTTGGCAATGGTTTATACGTTTTTTTTTAATGGCTTGTTTTAATGCTTTATAGTAAATTTAACGTAAGATTTTTAAAAATAATTTAATTATAATAATATATAAAAAAATATATTTTTAAATTTTATAACCTGGAATTTATAATTATACATTAAACATTCTCCTGTATCGATCGTGATATAATTTTAAAATTAACCTTTCAACTCTTACATTCTTTCACAAATTATAATGGAATATTTATGAAAATTTAAGCTATTTTATGCAAAATAATATAATTTTTAATTATAATTAATCAATTTTCTATAAATAAAATGTATTTTTAAAGCATTTTAACTTAAAATATTCAATGATGATTTTTTTTAATTTATAAGCTTGAAGATTATTAACAATTAAACTAAATTTTTAGCTAATTAATTAAGTTTAATTAGCTTAAAATTAAACTCAGTTAATTTCTGGATAATGGAGAAGAATTATATAGTGAATTATTGAGAAAATACCATTAAAAAGAGTTCAGGAAACTGATGAAAGTGTAAAGAGAACTTTCAATGTATGCTGCTAATTATAATGATAAATCTCTAATTAAATAAATAAATCTCGAGAAAATAAACATTAGAAATTATTTTTTAAGTAAAAAATAAATTAATAAATCATTTAACACTATAAAAACGCACGATTTTAAATTATAACACTTAAAAAAAACTCTTGTTTATCCTCAAGAGAAACGTTGAAAGTATCCTCTTCCACCCACATTAAATCTCCTTATTTTTTAATTTAATTAAATTTTTAGACGTTTTAAATAATATTTAATAGTGTAAAATTGAGGATATTTTTGTAAAAATTCATTATAATTAATAATAATTACGATTCGATGTTAGTACGTTCAATAACGTGAGCCCATTACCAATGATACTAAGAGAGTCATTTGTATTATCATTTTTAATATAATATGAAGGAAAGATAGGGAAGATAATCTCCGTTTTGTGAAGAACTAATGGGCTTAATAGCCTCCAAGTCTATTAATAGAAACGACTCAGTTTATGATCGTGTTAAACAGCCAACACCTGGCTGCTGACATTTCAATAATTACATGATTCATCCCCATTCTGAGATGATATCTTCCATTAAAAACATCCTGCTGATAATTCTATATATATATTTTTAAAATATAATTTATTTCTAACAAAATTAATTTTATTTATAATTAATAAATAGTATTAAAATATATTTAAATAATTTTTTTTATTACCAATAATTTAACTTTATTTTGAGTGTTAATGAGTCATTTTTTAAAATATTTTTAATTAATAAACGACGTTGAAACTAATATTAAGCAGTAATCTAAGGATTAATTTAGATAATATAAATTATAATATCGAGAAAAATTTTACAAAGTTAAAGAAGAATATTATATATATTTAATAAAAAATCTATCTACTTAAGATCATTATTATCCCCTTTTTTATTCTCTTAATCTCATCCTTTTTGCAACCCTCGAGCGAGCTCTATCCTGCTAATAAAAAAAAATAATAATCATAATAAATATTTAAAGAATATAACTTATACTGTATTATTATACTTTTCTTTCTCTCTTTCTCCTCCTTTCTCTTTTCTCCTCCCTTTTTTTTCCACTTTCTGTTTTCCTCTCATTTTCTTCCCCTTTTTCTTTTTCCCCTTTCTCTTTTCCTCTTATTTTTCTCCCTATTTTCTCCCCCTGTCTTATTCCTCTCATTTTTCTTTCCCTTTTCTTCCCCTTTTACTTCTTCCCCTTTCTCTTTTCCTCTTATTTTTCTCCCCATTTTCTTTCCCTTTCTCTTTTCCTCTTATTTTTCTCCCCATTTTCTTCCCCTTTCTCTTTTCCTCTTATTTTTCTCCCCATTTTTTCCCCTGTCTCTTTCCTCTCATTTTTTCATTCCCTTTTCTCCCCCTTTTCTTCTTTCCCTTTCTCTTTTCCTCTCATTTTTCTTATTCCCTTTTCTCCCCTTTTTCTACTCCCTTTTCCCTCCCTCTTCATTTTCTCTATCCTCTTTTCTCCTTCCTCTCCTTTCCTCCTCTTCTTTCACTTTCTTACTCTTTGCTCTTCCTTTCTCTTTCTTCCCTCATCCTCTTTACTCCTCATCGTACTCCAAATATCCTCTTTTTTACTTCAGATTTCATTATTTATCTTCTCACTTCATTCTTATTTTAAAACAACAAATTACTGGTGTAATGTATTATAAATATCAGTTTACGTGTACAAACAAGTGTACTTAAATGATTACTTTTACATGTGAGACAATGTACTTAAGTTTCAGAGCATTTTCAGGACTAAATCAT